TGCCAACGCTTTTAAATATATATCCGGTTTGCACTTCAAATGAGTTACACACTCTCGCTCTCTGGCTACGAGTGTTCGAAATTTTGAAATAATTTAGGGTTTCTTTTTAATATTCTTTTATATAAACACCAGTTCAATGGCAGTATAGTCGAGAACTTTAAATCTCCAGAATAAAATTAACTTTCACGCTTTGCAAGCTTCTCGTTTAATAGCAACTGAGCAATAAGCAGATAGAACTTAATAAAATGGTCGGTTGTAGATTACACTCAGCCATTATGAAGTACGAATACAAGAAAGTCTGACCAACGCAAATAGACGAGGATTTTATTACCGTAAGCCACTTCAATAATAAAAAGTATGAAACATCTTTCGACTCGATTCTTGTTAATTAGGGTAAAAGTTCTTTAGAACTCTATTTACATACTTCAACGGTTCCTAAGCTTTGATTGTTTAATTATAACAACTGTTTAATTCCTTTTACTTAAAGTAATATTTATACTATACTGTACTTTTTTGAATTATTATTTGTCCTTAAACATAACATTCATTTTTAAATTTTTGCAATAAGTTTCTTGTCTTAAAACAGTAATTATATCTTGGTAAACGTTTCCTTGTCAACTTTAACCAAAAAGGGTGCTTTTAGATTAATTACTACACATTTTTAATCTGCGACATGTACACGTGTACGTGAGTCGGATTTATCTTTTGATTTCATAGTCAACAAGTCGACAGTGCCTCGAGCTATTCTGTGAATAAGACTGATGTACGTTACTCATCGCTACAGAAATCATATTAATTCAAACATATTTCTTTACTCATTTGTAGAACTATAATGCTAAAACGTAATTCTTTAAAATACGACTAAAAGGAAATTTTGAAGTTGAATAAAAAGACCAAACTTTTTTCAATAAAGTCGTGATTTTTATGAAGACTGGAATTGTCTACTACTGTTTTCATGAATGTTTATGCAAATATGCTTTCATACGAAGTGGGTGGGTAGTTTTATCGTCGTTTCTTAACTTGGAAATTTAAGTTATGAAATATTGTGTTAATTAATCAATAAATTATTGTGTATGATGATTGATATGGTTTAATGGTTGCAGCTCCTTACAAACGTTGTGTAAAAAAAAAACATGGCGATTAAAAAGAGTGGCGGAGAGTTTATTGCCAGTTCTTCTCTTCCATTCTACGCCCTTGATTTGAGAACTGGCACTAAATGTAAAATTAGAAGCATTAATATTATGTATTTTTTTACTTTACTGACAAGTCATAAGTGTACAATGTGTTACCCATATGATTAAATGATTTTTGATTTGATACTACTATATTCACACTAGTACAAAGAGGAAAGTTTAGTTTGATGATTGATTGATACTAAACGTTTATAAATTATAAACATTAGTTACCTAAAGCATCCCTCAAGAATTATATTCGTTTTAAAAAGGCTATAATTTTAATGGATATATTAGAAGCTAAATAAAAAAATTTACTAAGCGACTGCTTTTCACAGGTATAATCTGTATAGGCATGGAACCGACTTTCTTTCAGTGGTTATTATAATATACCAATTATTAGTAGTCAGCCCACTTAGGATTATTCTTTATAAACTAGAATAGTGAAATTGTTCCAATGAAGTTTATTAAATAAATAGAAATGTATGTGTTTCACATACTCGTATGTACTTTTTTATTATATTCAGAAAGCACGTATTTTAGGAATATTATACAATAAGAAACTTATAGTAAAAAATATCTTTTGTTGAATTGACAGCAGCTGCTTCAATCCATGGGTGCTTATTAATATTCTTTTTCATAAGTCTCTTCAACCTGAACCAGTCTTATTGAAAACTGTACCAAAATAGCTTATATCATAACCCACTTACGTCCAGAATCTATATAATATATAAATACATGCCGTAGGTAGTGCAAATAATAATTATTTCAATTATTATAATCATTACAATTATTGTAATGATTATCTTAAAAGTAAGGTGTTTAAGGAGGCGCTTCCGCCTGAAATAAAAAACCAAACTTAGCCGGCTTTCATTTTTAAATATTTATGTTATTTGTAATTAAACCTTAAACAAGTTCTGTCCAAATATTGCTCACTGAGTCTTTGAGGCCTTAGCCAAAAATTGGGTGTTAAGTAAAATTTTACGTAAAATAATTCATTTACGCCTGTGGTTAATAACATCATGTGCGTAATTAATTTTAGAAGAAATATAGACAAAAAAAAGTGCGTGCGTACAACGTACACATGTCAGAAGTGAAACTTCTTTGGTAAACTAATTTTTAAGTCTTGTTAATTTTTATACAAATCTAAAACTTTAGATTTCCGAGACTTAGAGGGAGATAAAAAGGAAGATGTTAGGAATTTACTGAATTTCATTGGCATTAAAATATTGAAAGTGTCGAAAATTAATAAAAATAAATTTAAATTTATTTCTTTGATAATAGAAACACATGGCATTTTAATTTACAATTCGTCATTTGAGATTTCAATAAATTATTTTGCATAAAATATAAAATACTAATATTTCATAAATTCTCTTTACGAAATTTAAATTTTAAAAATGGAATTTGTATAAGGTAATTCGCCCATCTCACACTCTGAAAAACACCGCACATCTTCGTGAAAATTATACCCTCATGCGCCTTAAGAAGTTTCACTTCAAAAATCTTTAGTAAAATCTAAATATAAGCTTTAGTTACACAAAAGTATCAAAAAGTAACTTTTTATTTTAAAGCATTACTTTAAACTTTTCATTGTTTTGCAGATTGAAATAATCGACTCAAATCTTAATTTTGAGAGAATATTAAGCTGACGAATGCTAAATTTAAATGGCCGTAAAGTAGTCATTAAGTTGAAAACGTAAGCTGTCACTCAGAATATCCATTTTATAGTCCGAATATAAAATCCTTTACAGCTCACTTTGATTGTTACACTAACATGCTTATACGAATTTGGTTTATGCCAACATACGAAGCGTGTTTATATTTTAGTTAGCTATTGCTCGCGCGACTTCACATCGACAATTTTCAAGTTCCAAGCGTATATGCTCTCTTCTGGTAAACAAAATTCGTTCCGTAGCTTAAAGAATCTAACTCTGAGATTCAGAGTCGAAACAAAAGGTATTAAACGCGACATAGGGGAATCATACTGAGCGATAAGTTTTGACTCTAAATCTTACCCTAACGGTCAGCGGAGATGTCGGGGAATGCTCGCATTATCAGGAAATGCTCTGATCGTGTCAAGTAACCGTTGATTAATATTGTTACTTTGATTAATAATTGAGATTCCTTCTATTACTTCTAAGAATCATAATTTAATTTGTATTGTATTTAATTATTTCATATTTTAAAATCATTACTTAACGAATATTGTTACATCGCCACTAGTGGGCGTCATGTGGGTAAAGTGTGAGCACAAAAGACAAGAATAATCTACGGTATTTAATTTAGATGGATTCCTTTTAACATTACAAATAACACTTTTAGTTTAAATTATAACGAGCAGCGGGTTCGAGGCACCGATTTCACTTTTAATCACAATCTACTCAACCACAAATAGCATCATATAACCACAATGTTCCAGTGTATACTTAATCAGAACTACCCTGCGTTCCCTGAACGCCAAGTCCAAACTCAAGAAGGCGCCTCAACGTCGAATTTAATTATTAATTTCTTTCCATACGGTACCTAGAAATACTTGTAACTTTAAAAAATGCGCAGTTACTTTAGCATCGCTATAAATTATGTATTTACACTTCAACTCGGCGCTAATGGAGTAAATGAAACACTTTTTATATTATATTCGTTTATTCGAAAGTTCGTAAAAAGATCAAAATTAGTAAAGTGCAGTAGGTATGACAAAGTATCTAAATTTAAAACAGTAACATAAAACTCTTACAAAATAAATACATGCTAAAAATTATATATAATCATATAACAATGCCCGCATTTTGTCTAACACAATTGAAAATAACGAACATTATACATCTTAAAAAATATGCTAAGACACTGGTTTTGGTTCATTTGCTACAACGTAACAATAAAATATTTAGTGGGAAATTCAATATTCCACAAAACAGTACAATATACTCTCTAATATTATTTTGGCATACATCGCCTAACAATACGCGATTTTCACATATTTTAACTGTCACACAATTCGAGTTTTTTTATCCAAGCTACAAATCGCAGATTTACTATATGCATTCTGCATACATTGCTACCTGTTACTTGTAACAATAATGGTAATTTGAATATGGAAGTAGGAAAATATTACGTTGAGCTTGTAAAAGCAAAAACAGTATTTAAAGATTTGTACTACGCAGAAGAAAATTGAGAGCAAAATTGTTTTAATTATAACGAAAATTTAACAAATGGAATAAATAGAACAGTGGTTTTGCAGTTTTCAAAATAAAATACAAAACGGAAGACAATAAATGCACTTGACATCGTAACGAAATCTATATCAAAATTGTACAAAATCTATTCTACGATATATTTTGAAGATTCTAAACAATTTTATATATTTGATATACAATTCAGAACAAGTATTTGACAGCACCAGTGTAATCCCGAAGTAGTTTTAATCATAAACAAAGTATTGTAAATATCAGCTTTAAGTAACTTTATTTTAAACATTTGTCATACAAGTCAAAGTCATACAAACTGTCAAATGTTTACTTCTATTAATTGTCATAGTAAAACATAATATGGCAGGTGACATTTGAATTTCGGACGAGACGGACTTTAAGCAAGAGCTCGTAATACAATATCACAAAGTAATTCATATATTATCGCTTTGTGATTTACAATGCACAATTCAGAATCGCTTTTACAATACGAATGATTAGTTCAGCGGAAGCCCCTAGGTGTCAAATGGTGAAAATTGAAGTGATAAGCTGTGGCAAGCAGTGCGGTGCGAAAATTAAACATTAGTAGAAAGAATTGTGCCAGCCATTCGGTCGGCGTTATTCTTTCTACGTCCTCATGTCAACGGGCCGCGGCCATCAGCCGTTCGCACTGAGCCAACAGGTACTTCTTCTGCTGCTCATCGTATAGGAAGATAACTTTGCCGGACCCCGAACTGGAGAACATGCCTAGGACTTTACGTTTAGCGGTCGGTATGTATACACCTTTAGCGACCGCTGTAGGTATTTCTGGTATTTCTGTCCACAAGTACGTCCAGACGATCTGTATACAGAGACATTTATAAAACTCAGTTATATACGTAACTATGTATATAAATGCAATTATAAGTAGACTAACCCTCAACTAATCAATTGATGGACTAATAAAGAGGCTTTAGCGTGCGTCTCGTATCGTAGGTTCGAACCCCAGCTGTGCACCAATTTCTGTCTATGTGTTCTGTTAACATTTGCTCGTACGGTGAAGAAAATCATCGTCAGGAAACCGGCATGCCTTAGACCCAAAAAGTCGACAGCGTGTGTCGGGCACAGAAGGCTCATTTGCATATTAGAGAAAAAAGCAAAATGATCACGGAACAGACCCTGTTACTAAAAGGTTTGATTCATGAGATACTAATAATACAAGTATCTTAACAGATATAAAATGTTAAATACATATTTCTAATCTGTAATGTATGAGAGCAGTTACCTTTTAAAGATAAAACACACTTAAAAAACTTATGAATGGTTGAAAATAGTAGTAGTAGTAGTATCCTAGGCTACTATCTTATTTATACAATAGTCTTCCCATCAGTAACAAACCCAAAAAACCTTTATTCATATAGGTAAACAAGTACACTTATGAATGTCAACGGAAAAGATGTTAAATTGATTCTAAATTTACATTTACTTCCAGTTCGCAAGTCAAAGGCGTAGAACGGGCAAGAAAATCTCCGCCACTCTTTTTAATACTAGTTTTGAGTCATACAAATTGAACTGTAGCAAATAAATCCCAAGGATTAGGATCATTTAAATATTAGTCAAATTTATAAAAAGCTATCTATAACTTAATAAGATATATCAAGCTCAATCTAATATAAATACTGAAATAAACAAGGCTAAACCCGATCCAAACAAATGAAGATAACTTTTTTTAAGCACATTCGAAATATACGTGTGAAAATAATGAAATATTTATATCAAATTACTGAGCGGGCGACGGTCGAGTAGTCGTTACATAATACATGACTCGCACGGACCTACATTACGACGACGAATCGTATTTGGTCCTGCTTAACTTTGCAAACCAATCCAGAACATTAATTAGGGGAACAAGTTTAGATTACATTATATGAGTATTTTACAATTTTTTATATACATTTAAAAATTTAGAAGAATATACAAAATTAGCGTTAACGTTATTCAATTTAGAAGGGTTATGTAAGGGAATGTAAGGGTAGAATAGTAATGTATGTACATATAAATGATATTATGCAATGTAAAACTAGTATAAAAAATTTGTGCATAGCCCCTTTCCGATTTTTTATACATATAAGTACTGTTGTTACTGTTATATAAATACATATATTTTTATAACATTCTGTTTCGGTTAAAGCCTCGTATCCACTTGAGCATGCTCGGGCGAATGAGCGGCTCATTTGGCCGAGCCGCTCAAGTGGAGACGCCTGTGCACGCTCGGCCCGAGCAAATCCGAGCGCGCTCAGGGCGAGCCGGCATCTGTCGGTTTTTGTCCGTGCTCAAAGGCGCTCAGTATTCGCTCGGCGCTCAGTGTGGACGGTTGTTTTTGTGTTTGAGGCGAGCGGGTCGAATTCCCCGAGTTTCAATGACGTTTACTTTTTCTGTTATTTGAAAAATGAGTGGCATGTGGGATAACGAGACTTGTTTAACATTAAATGGTTCGTTATCTCCTTCGAAAGTCAATTCACGAATTATATTAGCCGAGTTGTTTTTTCGATGACGATACATTTCTCTAATCCACCACCTTGGTGGTTTTCTCTTCTTCTTTATGGCACAGTGAATGATTATAAAGGCAGCAGCAGCTACACGGACACGTGAAGACATGACGGAACCGAGCATATACTGAGCAGCCTGAGCACAGCTTTTTCAATGTTGAGGCTCGTTCGACCAAAATATTCATTTTGTTCCTCTGAGCATGCTCAGGCGAATGAGCGGCTCATTCGCCCGAGCATGCTCAAGTGGATACGAGGCTTAAGGAATTATAATTGTGCTCATATGGCTTGGGTGGCTCATTGGCTCATATTAGCTGTATGTCTTTTTTACTAAATGTGATAAACTACGTATTAAATTCGGGCCGGTGGCCAATTTTTGCTTTTATATCTATGTTGAATTTTTGTGTCATGGCAATCATTGTAAAAATAGATTTCTTTTTGTTTGAAAATAAATCAGTGGCGCTACAACCTCTTTAGGTCTGGGCCTCAGATTTCTGAATCTGTTTCATAATCATTTTTCAATATAATAGGCAAGTAGGGTCTAAGACATGTCGATTTCCTCACTATGTTTTCCTTCACCGTTTAAAGAAAGTCCATTGGTGCACAGCCGGGGATCGAACCTACAACTTCGGGGATGAGAGTCGCACGTCGAAGCCACTAGGCCAACACTGCTCTCTTTTTGAAATATTTGAAATTAAAGGGTTCAGATACCAGAAAACCTGTTAAAGTAAACTTATGAAAAGTATAATGATTAGGTTCTGGGTCGTTCAAAACATAGGCGTTTTTTTTCAAATTGTTTGATACCCGATAAGTAAAAACAGTATAAAATCATTTTGACGTTCGTTATTCAAATATGCGAGAAGACATTTTTTTAATACTAACCTGCCAACCACCGAACACATTGTTCTTCTCAAGGTAAAACAGCCTTTTATCCGTACACATGACCACCTCCTTGGCAGCGATGACCCAAACGTGGGCCTCATATGTATCCGTACTCACAAACTTGCCCTTTGAAAGATTTACATTTACTTCAGGGTTCCAAAAAAACCTTAATTATTAAAAAAAAATAGCTACTTTTATGGATGAATTTTGATCCTAGGTGAAAAAAGTTCAGGTTTTAGTCAATTGTTTAAGTAAGAAATTACGTCACATTTACATCAACGTCAAAATATAGAAAAAACAAAATTACTTTTAAATTTTAAAATGCGACATTTTTTAATTGCAAAATTCGTAATCCAGCACAATCTATACCTACCTTAAATAATACTGATTCTAATATATATCTATCTATACCTTTTCCAGTTCAGAGAGCATCTTATAGCCCTCAGCTTGCAAGCGCGAGTACGGTCTAACACCAGCATCGGGCGGCAAGTACCTCGCCGCTCGACGTTTTGTTATCTCTTCAGACATATCTGCTGCCCTGTTTTATATTGTAAAATATATATACTTACACACATAAATAGAACTAATGATAAAATTCAGTCTCTCTCAAATTTTACACTAAATGTTCTTAACCTATCAATTAACAAATGTATTATCATCAGTAAAACCTTCTAATACATTTAAAATACTACAGATGAATACAAAGACTAGCTAATACAACAGCGAGGACCTGTGTTCGATGTTGTCGAATTTTTTTTTGAAGTGAAAACTTCTTTAGCGGCGTTGTACACTTTTTTTGGAATGAGTAAAAAATGTTAAACTCGCGTCAGGACACGTGACCTGATCGAAAATTCGTAAGACGGATGGAGAGTAGACAGCTGGCGCGGCGTATTTAATGTAAAATAAATTGTCATGTTTGTGTACGATAGCGCAATAAATAAATATTGTATTCTACCACATAAATGATAGTGAGCGTCAGAATGGACGGTCACTAGTCGTGTAGAACGTTAAAATGTAGTTTAAAAATATACTTCCCAATTGCTTCTATTTAATTCCTACTATAAGACATTTGCTTCCTTAGCATCTTGGGAGAACCATAACAATTAAAGTGACCGTCCATTCTGACGCTCACAAATGATAGTACTTTTATACTGATAATTAAAGCAATTCGTGCAAAATTATTCCCTAACCATTCCAAAATATCAAAAATGCACCCGTCGTTTTTATTGGTAATAGTCGTAGTCACCTCGCTTGGAGCTTGGAGATACGTTTATATGTTGTCAATTGTTTTATAAAGGATGGATAAGGCGATAAGCGAGCATGCTCGAAAATTATTTGGATTTATTAAGAATGGTTAATGAAAAACGACCTTTGTTAATTAATTATTCCGCTTAAACCTTGATAACCCTAAACGCATATTTAAGTATGCATAACGTGGAAACTGTAATGTAATTAACCGTTCAATATATTAAAGAATATCATACTACACTCTGATTTTTAATTCAGTAGAATTCTGAAAGCTATCAGTTTTTGACATGTTAGAGATTACAAACTTTAATGGCCGGACACATTTTTTAGTGCGGTTTTCGATGCGGTGCTCCATATTAAAAGTGGTTTTCATCACAAACAGTAAAAAATGCACAGGTAAAGATAACCTTTTTTTTAAAGGTTTTACTAAACCTGGAATTAGTAGACAGTGATGCCAGCTAAATTATAAAATAAAGTAATTTAAGTAAACTCGATATATTGTTCGCGATATTGAAATATTTGTTATTTTTGTATTAGGTCACTTGAGTAAGTAAATATTTAGGTTTACCTTTTGGTAGGTAAAACATACAAAAATACGTAGAATTTTATGTTTTATAGCCCTCAAATGGGTCAAATTTGTCCCTTTTTCGGTGGAGAACTTTTTTACAACACTTATGAAATGTTAGAATTCTACGGAATGAAAAATCAGAGTTTAGTTACTACAAAACCATGACCAAATTTTGAAAAAAAAAGAATGTTGTAAGAAATTGACATACTATTATTAATTAGTTATAAAATAATTTCAATTCAACTAAACAAAATCTACATTCAATGTACTGACATTATACTTGGTTTCACAAAATACCGGAGGACCTTTTAATGGAGGTAAGGAGAGTAAAAGTGAAGTCGACGAAGCCTCCAGTGGGTCTAACGAGCAGGCCTAAGATCCCAAGACCTAGACCTCGCGCAAAGCCCTTAACTCCGCCCGTGGTAGCGCCCCGTACGGGTCTTACCACCACGCCACGAATTCCTTCCACTACGCCCTGAAGTATATGTAAGTTTTTAACCAAAAAATGTCTTTTGTACATATTTTAATTTTTACAAAAAAAATCCGATTAACGTTCACTTATCGCAAAAGTTAATTGTATAATATTAATAGATTCTACTCTGATTTGCCCAATTTTACAGTCGAGAAAACTCGATATTAAGTATACGAAAATAATCCTATTTGCAATATAACATATATTTTATCAAGAGCGAAAAATATATCGTATCTTCAATTATTGGCTGAGATGAACATCCAATTACTATACTATTATCGAGTACATTCGATCATAAACTAATCGGTATTTTCATTAATAATAAATTTACTAAGGGTCATATAAATAGCACGACGTTTCTTATCATAACAGCCGGTAAAGATCAAGAGATTGTCATAATATCAAGGTTTCTCGGTGTTTATAACGAGAAACCACCCACTAATTCTTCTAAATTTGATCTTAAAACTTTATCGAAGCTAAAGTTAACTCAGTAAAATAAATTTCTAGTTCACTTTCTTTTTAAAAGAACAATTAACATAGCTAAAACATCTTAACTTATTTTATAATTCTAAAGTGCTTGAAATAACCTATCGCAGTCCTATCCAAGCGGACCAACTGGTATATATTATCTATCTTTTACAATACACGTACAATGTAGAAACAATACAATTCATTTTAGTAATACACAAAACCATTCCACCATTTAAAACGACTTCACTGTCATAAATTTTATAGCTTCGTAAATCAAAGCATTCGAGCATGCTAGCGTTTATTTATACGATATGATGATACTACAAATGATTATAAAAAGATTTTAAAATAATAAACTGACGCGTGATCGTTCTTGTAAACCTCATATCGCATAAATAGAGGCCTCTTCCATACAATCATAATTTCGAATGTAACAATACAATATGACTGTTATTTGTAATAATTAAGGTAAATTCGAATCGAAAAAGATCAAATAGGCAAATATACAGTAGCCATGCAAATGAATGTGCAAAATAAGAAAAGCGGGAAAAATACGAGTATTATGTATATTACACACAAAATTCAGTTGCCATAACCCAGCGTACGCATACGTTAGCAGAACGTGCACAGAAACGATCACGCGTGCACTACCTTTTGACGGCGTCAAAGGACCCAGAGGCGAAATCCACCACTCCGGCTGTAGGCCGAGCCACTAAACCTACTGCCCCCATCCCCAAGCCCTTGAAGAACCCTTCAAATCCCTCCTCACGAGCGCCATCTATCGGCTTCGTGAATACTCCAGTCACTCCATCCACTATGCCCTGTCATGAATTTTTCACACATACAGACACGCTTAATAGGGAAGTAAAAATGCGATTTGACATCTGACCGTATTATAAAATCAATAAATTTAGCATAGTGTATAGAAAGATAGACATGTAATCTTTTGAATAAGATTTTACATTTATATAACAGAAAAAAACATTAAAAATTAGTTTTTGTTAAAAAAGTAACGTATTAGTAAAATTAGATAATACTATTAAATATGAACTACATACCATTACAAGACCTTTCCCACTCCTCGCTAAGCCTTCTTGGAGGTTAGCGGGAGGTTTGTTAATATTATCTCTTCGTCTTCTTTGGTATTCCTACAAAACAATTGAAGAGTTAATAATAATAATAATCTTTATTTTCTTCTCTCACATATACATACAAGGTTTTTATGAATAAACTAAGATGATAACATTAGGAAGTGTATGTGAGAGACTGGTCTCTGTAACAGGAGACCTGAGTGACAGATAGCCAGCCTCTCCACACCGGACCGGAACACGTACAATCATGTCATTGTCATAAGATACAATAGAAGAAAATAAGTATTAAGTGCTAAAAGAAAACATTGCAGAGTGATTTATAGGCGATTAAAAAAATATAATAATAAATAACAAACTCCATCATTATGACTGGACAAAACTTGAACTTGAACGTTTAATTTATTGTTACAAAACACTGTCTTATTGACTTAATAAGCCAAGGACTCGTATTCATTCTACGTCGCTAAATTTTCGTCAGAAGTTCCAACAACAAATTCTGTTCTAAATATATTTCTAATAAATGCAGAAACAAATTTGACCACTGACAATATATTATTTAAATATTTTCTTACTTTATCCAAAGACAAAGCAGCTAGACCATGTCCCATGGCCCCGGTGATACGTGAGACGGCCCCAGCGGCTCCACCCACTGTGTGTCCCACCAAAGATCGGACTCCTAGCATTAGACCTTCCGCAAACTCACCCGGCCCTTGGATAGCACCCTGACAAAATATTCATTTTAAATACGATACATGGAATTCTTATATAGTCGTAAATTTTCACTATAGCAATATGATTTTCAAATTATCAAACTGTCATGAAATATTGATATCCTTAATCTTTCAATGTTCACTATAGACTTGTTCAATATGATACTTTCAGTTTCACTCTTTGTAATAGTAGATCGATCCCCGGCTGTGTACCAATTGACTTTCTTTCTATGTGCGCATTTAACATTCGCTCGAACGGTGAAGAAAAACTTCGTGAGGAAACCGGATTGCCTTAAGACCCAAAATGTAGACGGCATGCGTCAGGCACAGAAGGCTGATCATCTACTTGCCTATTAGATTAACAAATGATCATGAAACATATACAGAAATCTGAGGCCCAGACCTAAAAAAAGGTTGTAGCGCCGCTGATTATTATTATATCCCTGTAAAAAGATTAACTGTCACAGTTTGCGTATTGAATTATTTAAAATTTTATATAAGTAACCATACTATATAACTATAATACGATATGAAGTCGTATGCCAAAAAAGTGTTATATATATATTTGATATAATGTTAAAAATATAGTATTTTTTTGTGATTTATACTCTATTATCTATATATATTCATAAGAATAAGAACAGTCAACAAATAAGAGTGCGAGAAACAAACCTGGAACGGCTCGTAGAACAAGTCTTCTACGCCCTTCTTAAGTCCAATAACAAGTCCATATGGGTTTCCAATGACGTCCAATCCAAGTACCAAAACGTACAGCTGTTTGAGAGCTTGACCCGTGTAATGACTCTGCACTTGGCTTATCAGCTCCTTTTGCGAGAGGAACTCGTAGTTTCTCTCGTAGTACGACAGTCTAGAATATAACGTTAAAAGAAAATCTGAGTCCTGAAAGATCTTAATTTATATGTATTAAAATTGGTATTAAGTAAAGTCTAGTAAAGTATAGAAAAGTTTAATGAATAAAATTGGATAAATTTCTATAGAATTTGACACAAATATATCTGTACCAATTTAACACAGGTTTTACAAATTTGGTTCATTTGACGTTAGTACTTGTAAAATCATAAGGGCGTATTTTTATTTCAAAAAGTTAATATGTCTTCCAGTGTTAACGAATCCATTTTAAGGTATATAATAATTTATAAATAAAATGTCATAATATATATTCATAAAAACTCCTTCAGAAAATCCATCAGGTCACTGCTTTAATATCAGTGTAATTGAGTTTTCTGTAAAAAAAATTATAAATTCTAGCTATAAACACCAAAAACCCACTTTGATCTTGGATATTTTGTGATAAACTTAATTGAATAAAAAAATAAAACATACTTGAAGACGACATCGTTCATATCGGTAAGGGTTACGCCGATACTCTGCAGTACAGTACCAACAAATGTCGGCAATTGGCTCGCTCCACCCAGAGAAAACGACACGTGGACCTGTTCGAGTAACAAAATGAAAGAAAGAAACGTTAGTACCCATAATAAAAAAAGATACAAAAAAATGAGAAAGTGCAGCCCCCACACTAGGATTTCGTGTCGTGGGCAGCTAAGCTCTTCCACTTGACATACTTATGATTACAGATACTTAAAGTAATGAATTCTACGTAACACTTAGTATAATTTAACTGTTGCACAAGTATGGTTTCGGTTTGAGCATAAGACAGGTTTAGAAGATTATGTTTAAGAAATGTAGTGAATGTATATATGTAGTTTTGAATCGAAACTGAAAATTTTGTTTTTGATAAAGTGGTTAAAGAAAGGGCCTCTGAAGGAGATAAATCGTTGGGCGAAGAAAGCGCGTTTTTTGGGTTGTTTATGTTTAGTAAAAATGTTTCTACGATGTTTCATTTTTAATAACAAATTATATTTAATCAAATGCTGTGATCGGAACGTTAAATTGGATCGATTTATTTAAAAATGTTGCATAATGTAAAATAACTTTAAACCTAAAAGACGTCAATACCAATCGAGTCAATTTAATATATATTTGACATCTTACAGTTTTAGCATTTTTTTAACTTCACGGGATTTCCCTTTTATTAATAAATAAAATTAAAATCAAATTATTTATTAGTAAAAGTAAAACGTAAAATTAGTCTTCGTTACATTATATGAAATTGGAATATAAAAAAGTTAAGAAATTGTGCAGTTCTAATTTGGAAAAAATAAATAAAATATTCTGCCCGCCGATACCTTTTTACCTTTTAACCTGGTTATCCTACTGAATTTTTATGAGTCAAATTTGTTCTATCAAAAAGTATTGAATAATTATTGTATATATATATGTATATATTCGTATATACTAACTTTAAGTGGTGACAAGTGAAGATTGTCGTAGAAGTTCTTGAGATCCGAAGCTACGCCCATAGCGGCTACCGCCTCTAGCGGCTGACCCGCCCGTTCTAGATCCGCTTGGAAGGCATCCAGCTGCAAATATATTGTGTAATGTAGAAAAACATAATTTTAAAAATTCAATACCTTTCGTTGCGTGCTTTATTATTTTCTAATATTCTTGTATTAAGCAAATCTTTATGTTCAGAAAACAACAGTATATTTAAAAAAAATAAAATATAAAGGGTTTAACCAACTAATATATGACAGTTTTAGTTCAATAAAATATTAAAGACTTACAGCTTCCTGTTCCGTAAGTAATCTCAGCGGGAACATGCCCATGAGCGCATTGATGAAGCCCATGTCCACCTTCACGTGGAACTCTTGGATCAGCATCTTGTAGTACTTGTATTGACGCACTTTGCTGTGCTCCATTATGCGCTCCACTATTGAGACTTCGATGAAGGGTCTCGTACCTGTTAAAAACGTAGGTCTTAATGTTAAGGAATTTTAGTTAAGATAATTAAATGGAATTACCTAAATTGACTAAATTTTCAATTTCAATATTATGAATTCAAAAAGTATTTATGTTGTAGTATTTAGAAATACACTAAGTTTATCTAGGACTTTTGGACAATAGCCACTTTCAAGTAATCAAAATTAAATATATTTCCCTATAGTAATCTAGATTGCTTAAAATCACGTCAGGGACACACTATATATATTCTTTTATTAATGAGAATGGTGAAACTATATTTCACATGCGAATAACATAAACAATTACCGCTTGGATCCTCGTTGGCCACTGACTTTGGCAGAGGCACAGGTGCAAGCACCACTGGGAAGGTCGGCAAGGCCAGTTGCTGATCAGCCTGCAGTCTGTACAGACGTGCGTGGAGTCTTCTCGAGTGAGCTGTTACCCCATATCTCGCCCATAAACCCGGTTGGAGAGTACGTCGTAAGAGACGCTGGGATGGTTTAAGTATACGCATCTCCTCGAAGTCCACCTAACGAATAAAAGTTTATCTGAATTCAGTGGCCAGTTCTGGAAATTCTTAGGTCCTTTTTTTTATTTTTATTTTTTTGGGAAAATATTCCATGGCTTGTATCAATTCTTGACAAAATTACAGAAAATATCTATTCAACATTTTGCCCATTAATTTCCGGTACAAAGCTGTATGTTCCAAGTGTAATTTAGCACACAGAGCGCTCCCGTAAGATAGTAGGCGGTTCCTAACAAGAAATAGCGATCTTGTCGTCGGTCAGACCGTAAGAACTGACTTCGCCAGACGCAATATGCAAGCAGACTTTATATATAATAAATTAAATAGGCTGCTTAATATCTAACCGACACATCATCATCACACTACAATCTAAAAATACAATTAAAGGACTGGCTTATGAACACACCTTACGCAGTGTTGGAGATGCTTCTGAGACCTTATATGTAGTGACACATTTTATTTATTCACTCACTCACTCACTCACTCTTTTGCACCCACACACTCGTTCATGCACTCGTGTGAAAACAATAAAAAAATATAATTGAATACAACTCACCTCAATACTGTCGTCGATTATTACTCGGGGGGAGATTTCTTTGTCACTGACCATTTTCTCAGTGATGTACTTTTGATATGCTTCCTCGTATTGTACCAGCTTCTGGCCTTCTATCTTCCTATATCTACGTGCACCAACTTTACATTGCTCCCATATGATACCCGAACTGAAAATGTCTATAGGTTAATACTAAAAGTATTATCCAAAAACTTTAAGCAATAGTCCATTCTCAACAAACTAAAGATCACCACAAAACTTCAACATTTATTTACAAACGAGTGCTAAGCTAATTTAGACATATTGCCAGGAGAGAACCAAATAGTCTTGACAAACTGGTAGTGATGGCAGGAGAAGTCGAGGTCGCCTACCCGTTGGTCTGAACTAATAAAGAAATTATTGGTCCCAAAATTCCTAATGCTATAATTCCTAAGACTTCGAAGATGAACATGGTGTAATATGATTTCTAGAGAATAACGTTGCATTTTACAGTTTAAAAAGATCCACTTTGTATATAAAACAGCAGAAAAAAATGTATGCATTGTAATCGACTGATGTGCATACCAGAATCTTACTTTTATGTATCAATTTATTCAGCTTCTGAAAACACCTTCATGTATTAATTTTCTATCTTATTGTTTTCTTATAATTACATTTAAGATTTTCTTACTTTCACAAAACCACTTACAGTAGTTTATTCATAGTTATTATTACGGGGGATTTATTTATTTATTGCATATTTTATATCCAGTAAGATGAACAAGCAAAACAAAAATATGTATTTATCTATTTCTTATAGTAGTTTTAACAATTATTCTTATTTTTTATTGACTATATACTTTTAAACACAAATCTTCCAATACTTATTTACTGACAGAATCACTAGCCCTATGGAACACGCCTGTTCCACAGCATAATGCTGCGCCAGGGCCAGTTACAACCACAACACACACTTAAATGTACCTTATTTCTTTTGTTTCTTTTCACTTTATCTGATAATAAAGCAATGTCGTGCAAAATTATTCCCCTAACCATTCCAAGTATCAGATATCACAATGTTATGTCTATGATGGAGTTTCTGTATTAGTCTGACTATTTTTTTATAGGAAAGATCAGCCTAAGCCTGATCTACGTCAATTTTTGGGTCTAAGACACGCTAGTTGTGACACCATGATTATACGGCCTAGTCTAGTCAAGTCAAAATAACTTTATTCATATAAGTAAACAAGTACACTTATGAACGTCAGAAAAGAAGTTAAATAAATTCTAAATTTACATTTACTACCAGTTCGCAAATCAAGGGCGTAGAGAGGGCAAGAAGGACTGGCAAGAACCCTCTTTTTAATCGCTAAGTTTTAAGTCATACATCTAAATGTTCGTCAAATTTATAAAAAATCTTTATTGATTAATTTACGTTTAACGAGACCTTTTTAATTTATTTAGTGACAATTCTCTAATTTCACTTAGGAGTTTTTTTGTAAATCGAATACAATTTCCTTATAAGGAGTGGTTTATCTTCTGGAGCCATACGTGTAAATGAGTTCTGTTTCGAGTATTATACTGGTGAAAGCCACCATTTGTTTTAAAATCGTTTATATTTTTTGTACATACAACTAGGCTTCAAGAATATATTGACCAGATAGTGTCATAATATTTAATTCTTTAAACTTACCTTAACTTAATTAAGGAGATCACTGTTATATTTTAACTTATAAAAATACGATTTACCACCAATATACCCAGACTACTTAAAACTTACTTAGATATACTGATATAGAGAATTTCCGTGAGTTCGTAGTCGTTGACGAGCGACAGTCCAACTCCGTGCATGGCCAAATGGAATTCCGTATGGACGGGTTCTGCCTCACCAATCGTATGAGCGCCACTCGCCAATATTGGATCCTCCGTCAGGAGTATCACTCTTTGGAGTCCATCCAAAAACGATACCCATGTTATGCGTCTCGTTTCGTTAATCCTACGAAGCATTAATAAAATTATCAAAAGTATTTTTAATACGACTTATTGCATTAATATAACAATGAAATATATTTATGCCTTGGCGGCTAAGTGTAATTTAAAACGTGTCAAGTCAATTCAAAATCATTTAATCATATACGTAGTTGGTCCCAAAATTCTCTCCCCCCCCCATAAACAAAAAAAAAAAAATTTTAAAAAAAAAAAAAAACCCCCCCCCTAAAGAGGGGAAAAAAAAAAAAAAAACCCCTTCCCCCCCCCCCCCCCCCCCCCCCCCCCCCCCCCCCACCCCCCCAAAAAAAAAAAAAAAAAAAAAATTTTGTTTCCCAACCCCCCCAAACAAAAAAAAAAAAAACACCCCCGAGGGAAAAAAAAAAAAAAACCCCCCCCCCCCCCCCCCCCCCCCCCCCCCCCCCCCCCCCAAAACCCCCAAAGCCCCCCCCCCCCCCCAAAACCCCCACCCAACCCGATGGCGGTGCGGATGGGGGGCAAAAAAAAAAAAAAAAAAAAAAAAAAAAAATTTTTTTTCCAACCCCAACCCAAAAAAACAAAAAAAACAACCCCCCCCCCCCCCCCCCCCCCCCAACCCCAAAAATCACGAGGGTTTTAAAAAGGGGCCCACCAACAAACCCCCCCCCCCCCCCCCCCCCCCCCCCCAAAAATTTTTTGTAGAAAATGTATATGAAATGCTTCTAACTTTACATTTAGTGCTAGTTCTCAAATCAAAGGCGTAGAACGGAAGAGAAGAACTGGCAATAAACTCTCCGCCACTCTTTTTTAATCGACATGTTTTTTTTACACAACGTTTGTAAGGAGCTGCAACCATTACACCATGTTCCACATAATATCTTAAGTAATTATTAATAATAATAACATAAATTAAAAACAAAGAGTTGTCCTCTATCAGCAGGAGGCATGGTGAAATAGGAGCACTCACTTACACTCTCGTGGGAACAACACGCAAAAAGTAAAGAGACATCATTAAAGCTTTTACTAGAAAATTTGAATGGATTTTTCAAGTTTACTTGTCATAGGCACCATAAAGAAAGTTATTTACCGTAATTTCATTTACCCAAAATATTATTTGAACCAAAACCATAGCTTGGTATTACTTAGTATTGGCTATTTGTATACTCTTCTTTTTATTAATATATAAGCCCTATTAAGAATAAATAACCTTAAATAGCGATTTAATATTTTGTCCTTATTAGTCATATGGCCCTTTTAAAATTAACGAACGTGACAAAAAATACATGTGTTTCTTACATAAAATCACCGATACCGTCCTTCCTTAGATCGTTGTCTATTTCCTTTCGTTTGTGTCCCTCAAAAATTAACGTCCTTGGTCCAGCGGGGTTATCCCAAGTGTACAGCATTCTATGCATTGATGGGATTTTTCTAGAAAATTTGTTTGAAATAGTAAGTAAGTTTTGGGGATTTTTAATGCATTATATAACTCATAGACTAAAAAAAAGGGTGCGTGTACTTATGTACGCGCGTAAGAAGTTATACTTCTTTGGCATTATTAAAAATAGTTTTTGATTGCATGCAAATAATTAATTACAATTAAATAATCAAAGACTGGAAAAGGAGTCATTAAAGTCAATAAAGTTCAGTTTACATTTGAAAAATTAATTAAATAAATATTTATTATTATTCTCTTACATTAAACAAATAAAACACTATTTATCTTTAAAACATTTTTATTTCATTATACTATTTATTTTTAAGTGACTCTAATGTCTTCATCAGAATTTCGGTTTGTAATTTTAAATTAATCATTACTTGGTTGTGCATCTACGAGGCTTCTCCAAAACTACTTGCTTTCTGCAACAAATAAGAGAATATTAATTTAAGCTCTGTCCATGCAAAACTTAAAATTTTTTATAATTTATATTATAAATTTTTTAACACATTTATATTAATATAATTATATAAATGTGTTAATAATATAATTTGTAGCACATGCTACAGACCTGGATAGCAACTTTCTTTTATTCTATTTAGAGATAGAGATAATTTAAATATAATACCGGTGTCTTCCTTGTAGGTTTCTTTGGAGTTGTTTGGGGATTCTTGTTGTTCAGTTCGACATGATTTTCTTTAACCTTTCTTTAATCCTACAAAATAATGAAATTGTTAAGTTATGTTGTCACTGTTGTGCACACCTTTGTTTGGCTTTTTTAGTATTCAAGTTATGTCAAAACTGATTTATTACCTTGTCATTGTTGGCTTTATTTGCTTTTGGGATATCAATTGTTTCCAAAATGATTTTATTTGTAATAACCTGAAATATATAAATAACATCTATTAATTTAAGTATCATGGTGAGTGGTTCGCACTCAGGTATTAAGGTGTATTATACCCACTGTCCATTATAAGTGGGAATGGGCTCACTTCTGGCTGGACAGAGTTTCGGTACTACAAGTGCAACATGGATGTTTTGAGGTATTACAATATCTCTAACTACCCTGTAGGGGAATAAAGTACTGTTGTGAGCATATGCCTATGCTTGAAAGGTTGAACCTTGAACATCACCATACATCATATTTATAATTAACATTCCTACCTCGACACCATCACAATCAAATTCATTGAAATCTACTTCAAACCATTGTGTCTCGAGAAGGTGATGGTGGCTTTGTTCCACCTCCAGTTTTTGATGTTTCACGGCGATAAGATGACAACTCTTTTTTTGTATTCAATTTAGTGCACTTCCACTGATTCATCAATTGTTTTTTGTCTCTTGTCCTTATATTTGCTAGACTAAATCTGATGTTTTGATTAAATAATGTGGTCATTTTTTTGAGATGCAGGTACTTATTAAAATGTTTACTTCTCTGTTATATCGCTCCAAGCCTTCATTTTCTCCTTATTAGTATTCGTGCTTAAATCTTTGTTCTCAATTATTGATATATAGGGTCGTAGAATATTTCTAAAAAGTTGCTGTAACAAACGCAATAAACAAAAGCAATGAATAATGGTTCATGTTTCAGTTTTAATCAACAATAATACTCGATAATACATACGGATAGTTAACCTCAATTGTATTGAAGCACTCAGGAAGGTTAGCACAGTTTTTTCACAAATATTTTATATTATTTCACAAATATTTTGTATAATGAAAATAACTAGGTATATAATTATTAATTTTAAACAATAATTAAAACTCCTATATTTGTTTAAAAGGTAAATGTCATTGTCAGATGTCAATTGTCATGGTCATTCAAAATTCTTGTTAAGCTGCTAAGCTAGAATATGCGTGAAGTTAGCTTCACGCATATTCTATTTCTTTTACTTGTAGTTTGTCTTATTCCCATCTCGCTCGCGCACGCTATATCACAGTGCCAATTTTGTGTCATAGGTGCGCGCGCAATCGTAAAATTTCACTCTCATCAATTTTTCATAACGCGCCTAAAGAAGTACAACTTCAAAAATTAAGTTAATGAGTTAAAAAAACACGAACCTAATATTAACGTTTTCTTTTTCGTATACGTTGACAGCGTGCGTTGTATAGTTGACCAGCAATGCGGGCGCGTGTCCGTCGCGATACTGACGTACTGTTACGTACGTACCGCCTTCGCTCAATTGCACTTCAACGTGCAAACCACCGTACTACAAACAACCGTAATTGATCAAAAGTTAAAATCATCTATTCATATATGTAACACAATGTACACTTTTGAACGTCAAAAACAAAAAATATACATTAAATGCTTCTAATTTTACATTTATACGTACTGCCAGTTCTCGAATCAAGGGCGTAGATCGGAAGAGAAGAACTGGCAATAAACTCTCCGCCATTCTTTTTAATCGCCAAGTTTTTTGTTTTACAATCAACCCTCGTTCTCGTTAGAAGGAATGAAATGTGGTACATTATTAATGTTTATATTCTAAATACTCGTTTTATCCGATCCCAGTCTAAATTAAATTTATTACAAAAACAACAAAATCTAAAATTTTGGCAAAATTAGATTTGAGTTTGAAAAATGCCTTAACACTAAATCTTAAAAAGCTTTTTTTAATATTATATGCCTTTCAAATTTTTTAATATGTTTACAAAAACAATTTGTTTATAAATATTTACGTTTTATATAGGTCATCTGGTGTTAATAACGACGCATTTTACACTGCAGAAGGCTAGCAAGTGTGTTCTTTTAAGAATTGTTACTTATAAAATACTTACGTGATTGTTCAATTTTAAACAGACACTGTGTTGCTCGGTGTACAGAAAAGGCGCCGCGTGCTCAGTTGATCCCGAAACTCGTAAGAGCAACAGCTTATCTTCTTTTTCAACTATTGGCCACAATGGAGCACTCGAATTTTGTTCAACCTATTGTGAAAAACATTTTATAAATACATATATATATAAGTCAATAATCAAAACATTAAAAAAACTAATTTGATGTAAAGAACTTATCTCGAAGATCAAAAGTAAAGATCATGACGGTTCATTTTTACAAATTCTAAATATATTTTAACGGTGTAACAATATACCTCTCTCCAAGCATCTCCGGAACGATGTAACTCTTGATATTGTATGGCAAATGGACATTCGTTAAGGATGAGGAAGAATGGTGTAAATATAACCATTTTAGTTAAACTGTTGAATGTCAACTGATTTGTGACTGCGACCTGAAACCATTAAGAAATATTAATGTAATAGAAATTCAACTTGAACGTCAAAAATGACGTCCTCGTTGGCGTACGTTGTACGTACACAACTTAGTTGCTAAATAAAACTAACCTGATAGGTCCGACCTTCGTTTTTACAAATTATGACACCAGAACTTCCTGGAACATCTAGCGAGAATTTATCAGACCACTCCCCAAACTCCACTCGTATGGCAGCCTTCTTTTTCCCAAAGAAATTCTTCGCGCGGAACGAAAACAGTATCGGCTCCTTATAATCCTTCGGATGGAAGATTACATTGCCTGTCTCGTCGATATTCTGCAAAAAACATAGAAGTTCTCACATAGAACCTTAAAACCTACTAAAAACCCTCACCCTATTTCGATGACCGAATCAGTACCGCATACCTCTTGTAAGATAGATCGTGAAATTTATATACAAATTTCCCGTTATCTGAAAAGTTCGTTTAGTGTAAATGTAAAACATGCAACATGCTTTTCGGCGTGGATTAGGATAGGTTAAATAGTTTCTTGGTGTTTGCACAAGCTGATTGCAATAATATATTTCAATAAAGCAATGAAATGTGTTTGCACTCACCGGCAAACATGTAGAATGGCGTCTAATAAATTTACAGCAACGACTATGTTCTATCTGTAATATACAAATTCAAAAAACTAAATGAAATCTATGCTCGAAACGTAAAAAAATCTATCCAAACAACGCAATACATGCAACTTCAACATCAATGTTTAGGTTGTCAAAAAATGGTCTGTATGATTCGTCATGTCGTAAAGTTCTATGGTTATTAAAAAGCGGATGTTGGGAGTTATATGCAAGCTAATACAATGAATATGATAATGACCAAGAATCATTAAACTAAAGGCGCAGTACTAAAGCTTATTCTCGCAAAGATACCTTATTGGGGGTGCTGGAATCTTTTTCGGGTTTCTTTGATTTCTGTAATGACGTAACATACAGTGGTAGACGATTTTGGGAGGACATTTAAATAAATTAAATGAATAACATGATTTAAATAATTTTGGGGATATTTTACAATTGCGGTACCTTAACATAATTGAAATGCTTCCACATGACGTAACATTGCAAAATAATATCATTCACTTGCTTAATTCAATTCATAAATAATTCTTAAAATCACCGTTTCGTTACAAAAACACCTAGAACTGGCAACTTTAATATTCAACTGATAATTATCAATAGGCCGCGATTTCATTCACTATTCATTCATCTATAACAAGTCCATAGTAGAAAATCATCCATAGCGTAAACTAAAATATACTGCATTCCTAATGATTGTAATTGGAACGAAATATTGAACTCGAAAGTTAAGTGAAATCTATAGTTATTTAAACTTACCCTGTAGCAAAGCGTAAATCCAGTTTTATTAAGCATCCAGAAGGGGCAGTAGAGTGAGAGTAGCTGCGTGCCTTCCGTGTCTACACTGTGCATTCCCAGTTCCAAGACCATGAGGCCGGGACTGTCATGTGATTCGAAGGACCAAACGGAGAGTTCGCTTGTCTCTTCGGGTAAGTTCTTTGTGCAAACCCAGCATTTGTCAAGATAGTTTTGTATCTAGTAAACACATGTAAATAATACAATTAACAATTACATAGATGAAAACGTGCAACGTGTTTTAGTTTAGGTCTAAATTAATTGGTAGATTTATGTGATCCCTTTCTACGTATTTTTTTCACTAGTCTCTTGGGGTAATTGTTACACAGTAATGAAAAAGATTGGAGCTCGTTTTACAAGCTTTTGCCTAAAATGGGCGCAGATACCTACCAATGAATATATGATAGAAATATAAATGTATTTAAATGTACAGTATGTGAAATAAAGGGCTTCATTATTATTGTGAAAAAATCAAATCAAAATATATGTCACTAGTACGAAAGATGCAACGAATTCATAAATTTAAACTCAAAACATAAATAGTTGCTATTGATGTTTCTGCGCACACGCTGCTTCAGTCACTCGCGCCATAGGAAACGAATACAGGAAAGAATCCGGAATTCATTTGGCAATATCATATATTTCTGCCGTAAAGTTCAAATGGTCTTTTTCTTTTTCAAGGTACCACTTTGTAACTAAAGGTAGGCTGTTAACAACTCTAATTGCCGGGTATCTTGCGCTAGTCTAAAAAGCTCCTCGGCGGATGTTATGCCGGTCCACTCCCGTACGTTCCACAACGATTTTTTTCTTCTACCAGCCCGTTTCTTGACTTAAGTTATGTCCATCATTATAGCAAGGAACAAGTCGTATCGATGATGAACCAAAACGTGTCCGAGTAATGCGACTTTTCGTATTTTATGTCTGCATAAACCTTCGTATCGTCGCGATTCGTTGAAGGACTCTTTGTATTCAGCTGATGCGAACACATCTCAAAAGCTTAGAGGCGTCATTTTGTGTCTTCTTTAATAGTCCATGCCTCACAGCCGTATAGATATCCTACTGGCCAGATATAACAGAGTAAGAGTTGAACCCTCAATTTGATAATGTGGCGATAACATTGTACTTTTATCAGTTTATGCGAAGAAGCCTGGGCAATTTCGATTCAAAATTTAATTTCTTGATCGAAATCTCATATTGCGGTTAAATAGTAAAAATAATAATAATAAAACTCACCATAATAACAATAGACGCTCTATTGGGCGCTAAATGCGATAAATGGAACATCTCCCCCGGCTTAAAAAGTTGCGTTCGTTTGAGCCCCAATTGTGAGACCACGATGTCGATGGGCAAACAGTTTTGTAACTTCACGGCTGGTTTCAGAACAACATCGTAGCATGAAGAGGCAAATGTGTGACGGTTCGTTTGTTCAAAGAAAACTTGTTCCATTGTACCAACGGCCTGTTCAAAATATTTAATTTGTAAATACATAAATACGGCACTACTTTCGTCAAAACTTTCAATACAATTCAATTTCTAACAATTAATTTACATTTATTAATACAGAAAAAAGAGAGGACCTACCAGAAACCTGGGCAGGTGGAATAAAAGGGACGGCGGGGAAGGTTTGGAAAATGGTGGCGAGGAAGAGAGACAAGTGGAAGATTTGGAAGAGGAGTTCACTGAGTCGGAGGTCGTGTATTAATGTTTAACATAGACTTAAAGTAAACCTGATTATTAAGTACTCGAAGACAGGCTGTTTTAATTTTATTTTTTAATACAGAAGCCATTTATCAAGATAATATTTGTTGGAATCAAATCAATTATATTCATTAAATATTCGTGGAAAAGCAAAACTAAAACCATATTTTACAAGTTCCATTTATTTTGCGAGCTTTGTATAATACGCGCCACAAGCTGAGACCTGCCAACATCAGTAGTACCAGGAGTACTACTGATGTTAGCTACGCTACTCTAACTATATTCTACGGAATTAAAAATCAGAGAATAGTAATGAGTTATTTCTTATAATTATTATAATAATAACATACCCTCAAATAGAATTTCTCGCCACTGTTCTTGTCTTTCGAGTCACATTGTAGAAGTTTTGATATTTTTGGCTCTTGCTGCAGTTCCCGCCATACGAACGGTGACACGGAGACCGTAAAACCTAAGCGATATGTTGTTTTAAAAAATGTTGTAAGTCACTATCGAGAAATAGGCTTTAACAATTCAAATTTAATATTCATAATTTAAAGAGCCTGCCCAGAGAACTACGACTGGCCCCATGACGTTCTATAATAAAACAGGTAAATAAACCTGAAGGTTTTACGTGTTTATTTTTCCTAAAAAATATAGATTTTGCTTTTACGACTTTGTTACCCGTGGCAAGCTATATGTGACTTAAACTTTTAAAATTTTTAAATCGATTAAAAATAGTATAATTCCACCGACCTTCGACCGAAAAGAATATCTCTGCAGTGGGCGTGTGCACGGCTTGTAATGGAAGTCTGAGAGTCCCACCCGCACTCACTTCGCCCAAAAGACGGACTTCGTTCCCGCTCAAGGTCATGTAGTACACGCACACTGGGACCGCTAACGTATTCGTCACCTGAAGTTAATTCATACAAACCTGTTAATTGAAAATTAAACCTCCAGAACTACTAAACCGATTTTTATGAAACTTGGAATGAATAATAAATCAAAAATGAATATCTCGACTCACGAAATGTTGCAAACGTACTTACTAAAAACAATTCTCATTTTTTTTTAAAGATAAATCTTTTTGAATTGGTGTTATATTTCAACTAAGGGAACGGACCAAATTTTATAACTATTTGTTCAGTCGTTTTTTAGATGTATTCTCGCAGTGTATTAAAATTTTATTTTTTCTAAAAAAAATCGTTACCTGAACAACGCTCCTTAGATAAATGTGTAAGGCGGCGTCTTGCATGACGACGTCACTGATGAGCCCTCGCGGCTCCATGGCAGCAGCATGAGGCACGTTCTTGGCCCTGCTTTCCCCTGAGGACTTTCGACCCAACGGGAAATATCGCTTGTCTGCTCGTTCTACCGGTATTTGGACATCTTCATTTAACTCCACTATCTGTTGGGTAAAATGCGAAAACCGTTCTCTAGGTGTATGCTCACTGTTGCCCTGAAGGCATGTCTTGAACCCAAAAATATAAATTTGTTGCCCGTGTCAGGCACAGAAGGCTGACAAACTATTTGTGCCTATTCAAAAAAACTACTGATCACGAAAGAGAAATCTGAACCCAGACCTAAAAGAATGAATCGCTAATGGATTACATTCATCATGTAAAGTCGATTTTTTTAACAATTAAAGAAATGTCAAATATTTTAGGAACACCATTCGCTATTACGTTTGACATTTATGACAAATAAGATATCAAGAATCGTAGTTCTAAGTATGTAAAATAAAACAAAACTCTCATCAAAACATGTTTAGACATTGAATACGAGATCATATGAGAAAGGCTAGAGAAAAGATTTTCCTTTAATCATCTTAATAATATAAATTACGCGTCACGTTGTTTGTCTGCTATGGATTCCTAAACTACTTAACCGATTCCAATCAAATTTGCACGCCGTGTGCAGTTTGAGCTAACTTAAAAGAAAGGATAGCTTACATATATATTTCTATTGTACGTGTGTATGTCACTGAACTCATTTGAAACGGCTGCACAGATTTGAATGATTTTTTTTTGTATGCGTTTGGGTGGAGCCCTGGATGGTTTCAGATTCACAAATCAGCCAGGCAGATGGCGCTACAGTCGGTACTTTCATACTTTGTTTAATATACTAATCGCTTAAATTATCATGCAGGACAACGTCTGTCGGGTCCACTAGTGCACATATAAGAAACTCTCAAGTTCTTTTCATAAAAAGTTCTGTATTTCGTAAAGTAAGAATTGATTAGTTAAATAATGCTATACCTTGTATGAAAAGGAATTTCGAACAAAACAATGTATTGATATAAAAGTGTAACGTGTTAAGTTTGTTATGGAAGAGCGGGGAACTGACACAAGTATTTTTTACTTAAAAGGGTCCACAGATCTAACAATAATTTTACTTATCAATAAAACATTTTTATTTAAAAAAATACCTTAAAGTTAAGCTTAAGCTGTGGGGGTGGTTCATTAAGCTTCATAATATTTATTCCTCCCTGCTTTAACTGCAATGGCAGACACGCTCCCGGCTCCAACACTACTTCCCTGAAAAAAAAACAATTATGCAATTTAAGATGTCATCATCGAATAAAGAAATACATTTTAACACAAAAAAATACAGCTATATTATAAATAGTATTTGTTAGTTATAAATTTACTGATGGCCATTCCAATAGTAAAACGTTTCGTCACCACCCAGTGACTCTTTATACCTAAAAGTTACCATAATATGGTGTAAAGTACGAGTCGAGTACAAAGTCGAAAATAATATTAACAATAACGCGTAATTTAATCCCTGGCCCGCATCGTAACGTTTTGCAAGAGGACCCCTCTCCTCCCAAAATTCGTTACGTAATACTTCAACAAAAGAGTAGTAATTCAAGAAAAGAGCGCACTAAGTCTTAAAAGTCCGGCAACGAACTTGCGAGCTTCTGGCAATGAGTGTCCATGGGCGGCGGTATAACTTCACATCAGGTGAGTCGCCTGCCCGTTTGCCTCCTATTATATTTAATAATATGTATATGAATTTGTTTTTACCTGTAGTCAGAACTCTTGTATTCATCAGTGAGAAACACAGCAAAATCATGGTTGTTGTGTAAGATCAGCTTTGTAGTGAGGCCCGTACAGTTGTGCAGAACGTAGGGTGCGCCCAGGTACTGTTTTTCTGGAGCCTGAAAGAGCACAATTATACTAAAAATAGTATGAATTCTTAGGAATGTTTAAGGAAGGAAGTGTCGAATACAGTAAAAACCATGTTCCGTTACTAGATTTTACGAAAATTCTCGAAATTTCTGGACTTTGTGTGGCTTGACTTGTTGTCCATACAATCTTATGTTTCATCCCATATAAACTATAGCACAGGTTCTTTTGCTATGCTTTTTTTTTACCAAATACAAAAACATACATATAAAAAGCAGGTTACATAAGTTATTAGGAAACGACCGCCATTTGTTCCAGACAACCCTAGTATGATACAATAAATAAGAAACACCTTCAGAGGGTAAAGTACAAGAAGTGTACAAAAAAGAACCTAAAATAACATGTAACACTATATCTAAAATAAAGTAAAATAAATATATAATGTAATAAATATAAATAAAGAAGAAAAGTAGATAAAGTAAATAGTAGATATTATTAATATGTATAAACAAAAATGTAAAAGCTAATCCAAGGGTTGATTAGAGTCACAATTCATTTATATAAATAGGTAATTAGGAGGATTATAATTTAAGGTATTTTTGTAATTCTTTAGTTATCTTTGTAAACTTATTAATTGTAAGCATTATTATAATACAAATATTATGTTTGTGCACGCCGTCCGCACCTATTTACCGAGATCATACTTTAGTTATAATTTGTATATTTTTTCCTTTTCCAGCGTCGCTATCTAATTTACACTATTAAAAATACGCAAACAGTAATGAACAGATAATATTAAACAGAAATGAATATTTAGATTTAAAGTATTTTAACCATTTTTTTAACTTACGTTTTCTAGTTTAGATTTAGATACCAATGTCGTATCGGGTGTTGTCTCTGCAATGGCGGTAGAGAAGGAATTCCCAAGTTGGGTGAGCACCTGTAATAATATATAACACATATATTTAATATACAGTGTAAACTCTTTATAACATCATTTGTTATAACGAAAAACTCGCTACATTTGTTTGGTTTAACAGAAAACCCATACATTTTTCAGGCTTTATAACGCAACAGCTATTCTCTATAACGAAGAAATGTTTTCGTATTTAGACATCAACAACATACTGCAGTGTAATTGTTTTTATAATCAGCATACAAAATGTAAGATTTTGAGGTGCCGAAATTTCTAAGAAAGACACCTTAGGTCATAAACAGCTGTCTCGCCTTGCTATTATTAATTGCATTAACACGTGTGGCATTATTCTTAGATTACATTGCCTGCAGAAATTTTTGGTCCGAGTTACTAAACGCTCCACCGTCACCTATCGTGTATTATCAGTCGTAAACAAACTTTGAAACTGTCAAGATGGAGTAAAGAGAATACTTTACCTATTGATAGTAATAAAATTAGAAATTATTGTAATTGGTTAAATTTGGTTTTTTATCTCTACCCTCCCTATAACAAAAGTCTATATAACGAAATAAATACTCGGTCCCTTGAAATTCGTTATAAAGAGTTTGCACTGTATATAATTTGTTGACCATATTGTTGATTAGTTTAACGTTAGAATTATAACATACAATTTAATAAAGTGATGAAAAAAAAATTTTTTCTCTTTAATTACAAAAAAAATATCAGAATAAGAACGTATGGGTTCCTACGTGAGCAGGAATATTTAAAAAAATCTAGATTACCTCAATGCCACTTCTAGTGATCGTAATCTCAAGAGGTTCGCTACTGGAAAGGGAGATAGTCATATTCGCTTGTCTTAGGGCAGCCGCGGCGATGTTGGCGGCTTCGTCTGTCGTGTCTATTGTCGATTGAGCCTCTTCAGGACGCATCACTACCTGTAATTAAGAACCACTGGTTATTATCTATACTATCTGATCAATTAAGTGCCTAATCCGCATCAGTATTTTTAAATAAGCAATTACTGAGTAGAAACAAAAATTTGTAGTTACTTTTATTTCTTTATTATGGATAATAATTTTTGGAAATTTTATCTTCAAAAAGAATATATAGATTGAAACGTATGTTTGATGTAAATAATAAATAAGAAATCGGTTTAAAAAAATTAAAAAATATAGACCATTTTAAAAATGTCGAACTATCCTAAGTTGAATTTTGTGAATACAAACATAAAAACGCAAAACATGAAAACAATAAAATAAATAAAATTAAAAATACATTTTGAGATTCAAGTTTTCACACGTTCGTATTTTTTTTCTTACTTAAATTTTTTGCAACAATATAAGTTCAGAAAACAATTTATTTTCCCACATACTGTTCTATCTTTAGAGTTATTACTAATGCGATAGAACTACACAATAATACCTACGCCGGGATAATTCTACAATTAAAAAAAAAACAAATAAGATGTAGGTATTTTTTATTATAACTAATAATAATCAAGCAACTCTTGTAAACTCAGCCATAGTACAAACATATAGGTATCCATAGAAATCTTACTATATCGCTAACGTTGGTAAATGTGCGCGGTACATACAGCAGACCTTTTCCTCAGATCCTTATTTGGAACCCGTAGACATCTCTTTATTATTGGCAAGTTATATAAAAAAAAAGTAAAACAAACCTCCATTTTAAGTTCCCAGGGAACGTGCCGATATTGATAATCCTTGAGTACTTCGACTGGCTCCACCAAAGGCTCCCACATAGCACGTCCTATGTTGTAGTACGACACTTGCATTGCCCACGTACACTCCATGTAGAACTGTTACAAAATTTATCATTTAACACAATATACACAAAATGATAACATAATATTTTGAAGTGAAAACTTCTTTAGCGGCGTTGTACACTTTTTTTTGGAATGGGTAAAAAATGTTAAACTTGCGTCAGAACACGTGACCTTATCGAAAATTCGCAAGACGGATGGAGAGTAGACAGCTGGCGCGGCGTATTTAATGTAATATAAATTGTCATGTTTGTGTACGATAGCGCAATAAATAAATATTGTATTCTACCACATAAATGATAGTACTTTTATACTGATAATTAAAGCAATTCGAGCAAAATTATTCCCTAACCATTCCAAAATATCAAAAATTCACAACGTTAATATTATTCAAGTTTTCACTTCTGCCGGCACTTCCGGAGTGCAACCCGTCGTTTTTTTTTAAATACAAAACTGGCCAGACGTTTACAATCCAACCTGGTGTACAGTGAAATGTGGCCTATTGGAGGGCACGCATGCCTAGGAGATGCCTATTTAACTGCCGCTTAAATTAACCCATATTATACTATGTAGGGAAGAGTTTTACTCCTCTACTGTTTCTACAAGAAGCGACGATCGTGCAGTGCGTCACTTGGGGAAGGCAGGGGTAAAATCCAGCGTGCTTCTAGATGAGCGTGGATTGAAAGGGGATGACGAAATCAGATTGTATAGTTCCATGGAGCATACTCCGTATTATTATTATCGCGGAGTATTAACTCGAATAGCACCCCGAAACTATTCGGAACTAAGAAACGGGTAAATTGTAACAGCGACGGTGTTGCAAACGCAATTTGCGCTTTTGAACAATATTTAAATATTTTACATTATATGTATGTGCGATTAGTTATCAGATCAAATATATATATATGTTACGAAATTTCTCTTCATATTAAAGGTTCAAGGAATACAAATACCCCAAAATATCTTGCTTTTGAATACAAATCTGAAGTATTATTATCTAACGGTACTTATAAGCGTGAATCAGTCAATATTTTGCTTTAAATTTCCAAAATACTAAAAGAGCGAGAAAAACATAACACGTTATTACCATAGAAGAACTTGAATATGACTTTTTTACTCACATCAGAACTCCAATCCTTGACTTGTCCGGTAAGTGAAGACTGCATGACCAATACTGGTATTGTTTCGTTACCGATCTCCATTTCTAAGGCCAACACTATGGAGGGACTCGATAACAGACATATTTCACCCTCGGGAGGTTTCCTTAGGGATGTCACTGAGTTGTCTTCTAAGCTTATTGCTTCCACCGCCTCCTCTATTAAAAAGTATTTAATCTTAAATAAATTTAATCAGACTCTCATCCCTGGGGTCGTAAATTCGATTCCCGGCTATTTACCAATGGACTTTCTTTCTATGTGCGCATTTAACATTCGCTCAAACGGTGAAGAAAAACATCGTGAGGAAACCGGCTTGCCTTAAACTCAAAAAGTCGATGGCGTGTATCAGGCACTGGAGGCTGATCCCCTACTTGCATATTAGATTGATAAACGATCATGAAACAGATATAAAAAACTGAGGCCCAGACCTAATAAGGTTGTAGCGACACTGATTTATTTTATTTTATAGCTATTTAAGCGTTAGAAAAATTTTGAAATAATAAAATTTATTCATTATAAGTAAAGCTCTTCCATAACAAATTTAATATATAGATATTTTTGATTTTTTTAAAACTGTTTACAATAAATTGTTTTTGCGTGAGTGAATAAGTGGGTGTGAGGATGCATGTGAGTGAATGTATGGGTGTGTGGATGCATGTGAGTGAATGCATGGGTGTGTGGATGCATGTGTGTTAATTCATGGGTGTGTGGGTGCATGTAAATGGATGCATGGGTGTGTGGGTGCATGTGAGTGAATGCATGGATGTGTGGGTGCATGTGAGTGGATGCATGGGTGTGTGGATGCATGTGTGTTAATTCATGGGTGTGTGGGTGCATGTAAGTAGATGCATGGGTGTGTGGGTGCATGTGAGTGAATGCATGGATGTGTGGGTGCATGTGAGTGAATTCATGGGTGTGTGGGTGCATGTAAGTAGATGCATGGGTGTGTGGGTGCATGTGAGTGAATGCATGGATGTGTGGGTGCATGTGAGTGAATGAGTATGAAGATTTACTTACCAGTTTTAAGGAACCAATATGAAGAGGGTTTGAACGGTTGTATCTCCCACAACTTGTCATAGAATATTGGCTTGTTGTCTTGTTCAACATCGTCTTCTTCGCTACTTGTCATTGTAGCTAGCACTCGATTTAACAGAGCAATCATTTCTATAGAAAAACATTAGTTATTAAAGACAGTTGTTAAATTAGTGTAAGTTTTATTGTCTTATTGAATATAACTTGGAGATGACTGCATTTGTTTTCCGTCGATAATATGTCAAATTAATACAGATTGTAAAACCTGTGGTTAAGCTTTATATTATAGATTATACATAAGCCACTAAGCTTATGTACTAAAACATGGAGCACATGTTCTATTATATCATTTGCATAACGTCATGAGTAAAGTATAAAAAGTTTTCGTATTCTTTTTTATTTTATTTTGGAACCTAGCATAGTTATTCATGTATCTTAGTTTAGCTTTTAATTTATTTTTTATTAAGGTCCATATTCTAATTCGTATCAAAATTTTAGTTTTATTGCATTCTAGAATACGGGCCTTAGATTTTAGTTTACTAGTTATATAATTTTTCATTGTTACTTATTTTATATTAATTTATTTTTACCCTTAGTATTAATTTTATTTTTTTCCTTATTAGGGTTGCCTGGAACAGATTGCTTGTTAGCAATAAGGCCTATGGAATCCCTAATAATTTATATTACCTGTTATTATTTGTACATTTAATATATAAAAATTAAGAAAATAAACAAAGCTAATGTAACTAATGTTGTCCCTATAATTATAATACTTAATGTCTTATCTGCTAACTAATTTCAATCAACTAACCTGGAGAAACAGTAATTTTAATATCCGTAAGTGCCACATCCACATGCATGCCACTATTCGGTGGCTGAGACAACGCCAAAGAGAGATGAGCTGGCGCCAACAAGTACCTGGGCGTGGTCGTACGGCCCAAAGTACGTACAACCATTTGCAAACCGGATATACCTCCGTCTGCTACCATATGGTCTTCTGTTTTGCGTAGCTTGAACTTTGCTTCCATCTATAATATACAAATTAATGAGCTTACTTTGAAATTCCAGAAACTTCTTAAGCAATACAAATCAATTCCTGTGCCCACAGCTAGGACTAAACTTCTGAAAAGGGCACATATGATTTGGTATATAACTTTAGTAAACGAATTACATAGGTTAACGGATCTTTTTTACTGTCCGTTAACTGAACTGACAAAAGTTCTATTATTTGTTAGTGCCTATAGTAGTTAGTTTTTTTTTGTATTTTTATTTTTTATAAATTAATTTTGTTTTTCCGAATAAATGTTTGTTTTCAGTTTCGTATGTAAATTTAATTCATTTGTTGTGCGTTATTTTGTAAAACTGTACCAAATTCAACAATATTTATGAAAAGTATAAAATAAAACATACAGTGTAAACTCTTTATGACGAACTTCAAGGGACCGAGCTTTTTTTTGAACATATAAATCATAACGCTTTTCTATTCTGGCCATCTTGACAGTTTCAAAGTTTGTTTACAACTGATAATACACGATAGGTGATGGTGGTGCGTTTAGTAACTGAGACCAAAATTTCCTACAGGCAATGTAATCTTAGAATAATGCCACACGTGTTAATGCCATTAATAATAGCAAAGGCGAGACAGCTGTTTATGACCTCAGGTGTCTTTCTTAGAAATGTCGGCACCTCAAAAGTTTAGTTTTGTAAGCTGATTATAAAAACAATTACACTTCAGTATGTTGTTGATGTCTAAATATGACATTGATATTTCTTCGTTATACAGAGTGACTGTCGCTGTATAAAGATTGAATTAATGTATGGGGTTTGTGATAAACCAAAGAAATGGAATTATTTTTACGTTATATAGAGTTTTTCGTTATAATGTATGACGTTATAAAGAGTTTACACTGTATTTATGATAAATATAGTTTTGGTAATCTGTAAACATTGACTTACATTCAAAACCAGAGCATCACATTTCTTCTGCTCCAAGGACTCCACGAGAATGATGTCAGGTTGCTCTATCTTTATATTGACAGTCATCATAGCTGGCTTCGTACCTTGGTCTGACAATGCAGGCTCAGAAGACACTGACACTTTCTTTTTCTGAAAAAAATTATAATATAAAAGATTTAGGACACAAATAGATTTGATATCTAGAAATTCTAGCCCCAAACCGCTAGCGCTTCCCCCTTGGACTCAATTGCCTCTGCCCATCTATGTATGTGTAAGGTATACAAGAGCTGAACGACCACGACGAAAGCCGTACTGATAATCGAATAAAAGAAATAACTTACGATCCCGCTCTCGAATTTATCTGCAGTAGGTTTGACTAATTTGACATCTTCTTTAGCTTTGACAGTGGGTGTGTCTTCAGCGAGGCCACTCGTCATAAATTCCGCGATCTTCTTTAGGAAATCCATGGCCAGAATCAAGTTGAAACTAAATATTCTCACGTCGACTGCAATAGATAAAATTATTTCTTTTTAATTTTACCGTTAGTTTAAACCTAATAGATTTTCACATGTCAAAATCCTTTTTGGGGGTGGTTTTTTTTGGGGGGGGTGAAAAATTGTGGGGGGGGGAATTTTTTTTTGGGGGGCCCCCCCCCCCCAAAAGGGGGGGGGGGGGGGGGGGGGGGGGGGGGGGGGGGGGGGGACGGGGCCCACCCCAGGGAAGGGGGGGGGGGGGGGGGCCCCCCCCCCCCCCCCCCCCCCCCCCCCCCCCCCCCCTTGGTGTTTGGGGGGCCCGGGGCCTTGCCCCCGGGCCTTGCCCTTTCCCCCCTTTCCAGGTGTTGGGGTTTTTTTTTTTTTTTAAAAAAAAAAAAAAAAAAAACAAAAAAATTTTTATATAAATTGACTCTGCACCTCAAAGCGATCATTTAAAGAAGGAACGACCACTAAGTATTTTTTGTTTTGTCTACAGCACTTTTTAACATTTTAAATCTACTGATAGTGCAGGCTTACTTTTACTACGAACAACGATCAAGTTTTCCTTTACTAAACTCTGATTTTGCATTCCGTAGAATTCTGATATTTCATAAGTGTTGCTATTAAAGTTCTCCACCGAAATACGGTGGATCAAATTTGACCCATTTGAGGACAATAAAAAATAAAATGCTACCTTTTTTATGTTTTACCCCACCATGATACAACAATATATTTTTATTAATATTTGGTAAAATCTAAATTATTTTTAAATTAACAATTTCATTATTTTTAGATTAAAAAATAAAGAAAATCATCAATGAACAACAAAAATCCCAAACTAACTCCAAAGAAACCTACGAGTGTACCACCTTAATACAAAAATACTTTATTCTTATTTGAAAACAAGTAGTTTTACAATTATTTCAATATCATGAACAAATATAACGAATTAATTTTTTTATTTTTTTTAAAAATATTTTATTTAATTTTAATGTAAACTACTTCTTTAATGACACCCACTTTATTATTAAATGGAATAATTATTTACATTCACTAACAAATAAAAGCCACCCCCCCCTTTTTTTTTTTTTTTTTTTTTTTAAAAAATGTACTGTATACGACTACCAACGATCAATTTTCAGACTCGTATCAAATTGAAAATGAAATATGTTCCAAGCCAAAAATGTATGACTTGTGAAAAAATGATAGCTGTCAGAATTCCACGGAATTAAAAATCAGAGTATAGATTGTTTTTTCATTAATCTTATGAATACATATGTACTATTATTAAACATTGTAGGCTCGTTACACTAATATTATAAAAGAGGAAAGATTTCTTTGTAATTGATAAACTCCAGTTCAGTAGACTGGTTAAAAAAAGGGGGGGGGTGTTTTTTTTGCCCGTCCGCAAGAAATTTTTTTTTCTTTCTTTTATTTAAATTTTTTTTTTTTTTCCCCCCCCCCCTTTTTTTTTTTCCCCCCCCGAAAAGACCCCTCTTTTTTTTTTTTTTTTTTTTTCCCCCTCCCCCCCATATAATTGTTTTTTTCCTTGCCTAATTGAATAACCGCCATTACAAAACAGTCTTATTACGTTAACCCCAATTGTAAAACACCCATGACGGAATTTTAGTCAATAAAGCCAAAATACTTGTCATGAGATCATTTCTCATAAAACATTCTGCAACCGCTTAGAATTATTTATTTTGCAAACATCTTCAATATTAACTGGATAATTTGTATGAATTTAAACTTAAAATAATACACGTGAAACTACTTACTGAATGTATCAGAGTTTTTCATAGTATACGTAATATCGATCATGCTGCGAATCTTGTCATGCGCCTCCATAATATTGTCCGGTTGTTTCTCACTCTGATCGAACACGTCTGGTCTGTCGCGACGTCTCTCTAAATATCTGGACGGACATATATTTATGGAAAACAGGCTAATGTATAGGATCACTCAATTTATAAGGTAGATAAATGAGTTAGAAAATTAGTATTTTTACCGTTGCTTGAAAAACTTAAAAATTTGTGAAATTAAAAAATAAACCAAAATCAATATCAGTGGATATTTAAACACATTAAAAAATAATTGGTTCGCGCAATAATTCTTACCTAGTTATCTTAGCTCCTCTACCTGGCCTTGTATCGTCCAATGTACAGTCCACAAGCAACACAGAAGTGTGAAGGGATCCGTCGGAGAACATACGCCCTTTGACTGAGAGTAACGCGAGACAAAACCGGGCCAACTCCACATCTCTGGTGAACTGTAATTCTTCTGACTGTGGAATAGATTTAATTTATTATCTATCTTGAAAATAATTTCCATAAAAACCAATATTGTGCAGTCATGGTAGACTAATAACTTCTTAAACGAAGGATTTTTTCGTCCAAAATGAATATATCCATATTCATTTACACTTTCTTTTCTAAAACTTGTACAATACTATACATTCAGTAGTAGTTTAATACACGATACTTAAACAGATTATACTTCGTGTTACTGTATGATAATGTAGGTTTTTAGTTAAATTTAAAAAAAAATTTAGTTTGTTCCAGATAGACAGACGGAATTGCGATGACGTCTGAAGATAGCAAAAAAATAAAAATTGAGGAATGCAGCAAAATTTTTCAAATTCCGTTTGCAAAAACCTACCTAGGAGTTAAGGCAACTCTCAGAATTATTCACGAATATAACAGAATAAACACTACTTATCCGGAGCTTAGGCACAGGAGGCTGATCACCTACTTGCCTATTAGATTGAAAAAAATGATCATGAAATATATTCAGAAATCTGTGGCCCAGATCTAAAAAGGCTGTAGCGCCACTAATTTTTTTTTATCCGGAGCTTGACATATTCGGTAGTGGGATGATTAATTTAAAAAAAGAATTGTTAAATGCCTATCTGATACCTAATCCGCTGTTTTAATAGTAATATACCAATATGTAAAACATTATTAGTAAAATTTAAATTTGGAAGTGTAATGTTTTTATTGTATTCCTATTTTTTTGTATAACTTTTTTTTTTTCGTTCTATTCTATTTCGTTTCGTCATGTATTTTAGAAAAGACAGCTTGTTACATACTTTAGATATTATTATATGTGATGTCGTGAACTTTAATAAATAATGCCTTGGAGGAATGGTCCATATAAGTTTATCTATTACATCGAAAATTCATCTTTATAATATTAGTCGAGAGCAGGCAATGTTTACTTGTACTTACCACAACTGTATTCATAAGATCAATGACAAAACTGTCCATAGTAAAGGAAAACTTGATCGTTGTTCGTGGTTTCTTCGACTCTTTCTGAGTAACGACAGCCACAGTAGACCGTGTCGTTCTACTCGACTGACTTTTCACAGTTGGCTTAGAAGTCACTTTTCCCACATTCTGTGGTTTTGCTTCCTCGCATTTAATTTGCCCTTCTTGCAGATTTTGGTTGAGAATCTTCATTATACTCTTATAATCACTGTGACCAACTGTTATCTGAAAGAGAGAAGGAATTTTATATGAATGTGTAACTAGTACATTAATTTTTTTGCTAATTTTCACGTAAATAAACTATACTGAACTAGCAACTATACTGAACCTGCTAGAACATCTATTTTATAGATTTTTTGTGGAAATATAATAAGGTAATTTTTTATAAGAAATACATATATAACCTACTTTTCACGTTAAGAAACTATGCATTTGACATTGAAACCTGCCAGAACATCTATTTTATCGAGTTTTTGAAATATGGAATAGTTGGGCAAATAATCTAATATAATTCTCGTGTCACATAAATTCAATAATCTAAAAATTCTACCAATCCATTATATCTAAGCTGTTTATTTGCACCCTTTACGATGAACCGTATTTTTATTTTTAATAAAACTTACAGAAAAACTAAAAAGTTTTCATTCCAGAAACCCAACCCAGCCCCGGGTAGCAAAGCAAAATTTCCTGTCTGTCAAAAAGGAGGCTAAGAAAGGCACAATAAGGAGAATCGAAGTTCTCGGGGGCAGCAAGTAATATACATATTATAGGATAACACACATGACCAAGGCTCTTATGTAGTGAGGCATTTATATAGAATACGTCGGAGGCCTGTAATTCCAGTTACATATTAGGGGGGTACCGCGTATGGCAATCTGAATCGTTAATACGCGTATGCGCTGAAGACCTTTTTATTGGTAATTTGTTAACTTAAAAGTTATATTTTTTATTGATTATAACAAAACTTACAGCAATAGTCTTCATCCTTCCAGAGACATCAAGATCGGGCAATGGCTCGTACCAGCTCGAAAGGCTGCGCTTGACTAACAGCTTGAAGCTGGTCGGCCGCAACAGCTTACGTTCGTGAGATACGTCTGAGCTATTTTCACTGAGCTGTACGCATGATACTTTCACCTCTTCCAGCTCGAGGGTCAATTCGTCCACTGTCACTTTATTGCTTACGTCCTAGAAAATTTAAAAAAAAATACTAAATATATATAACTGATCGTATCCACAAACTTGTAAATCGTTACTATATCGGAAGCAGAAGACACTTAATAATTTAATTATAAATAAAGGTCTTAAGGAATTGTTTTCAAATATTATTCATATTTATGAATATTACATATTGACCAGGGTAGTAACTTTTATTATGTTAGATTTTAGCTCATCCTCATTATATTTATCCCTAAGATGAGAAGTTACTGTGTCTCAGGAAATGTGACGCTAATACATGCCGTAGGGTTTATAATTCTTTGGGCAGTTAATATGTGCATGCACAGACGTTCTTACTTAACTAGAAGAAAAAATACATTTTAAAATACAAGGTTTATATACTAAACAATATATACAGAGAGAATGCATGTAGGGTGTATATTTGTTTGTGTGTAGCTGACGCATGTGTGAAATTTGATTTTAAATAGCCCTCAAAAACTTACAAATTTATATAAAGCGGTACTAACAGCTTTTAAAACGTGTCTGATAACTGCATTAAAAATACTTACTGCAAGTGGCAAATCGACGAACTTATTATTGATTGTCATGCGTCCAAAATCTAGCATGATGGCGTTCATACTAGTCGAGTTCTCCGGTACTAGAATAATTGGGGCAGCCAATCTCAATTTGAGAGCCAGTTTAGTTGAGTTCTGATATGCGTTTTGCACATTGGCTCTCGCGACTTCGGCGGCCTGAGATGATGCCTCTATTATAGCTTCCTGGGCTGCTTGGAAATTGTTCAAAAATTCCTGAAAAATCAATGTAAATGTTAGGAACAATATGTATTGCTGCTACCAAGAATTTCGAGGCACATTTTGGCTGTTTAAGACGACACAAGTTTATCAAAAGTCAAAAAAGTCAAAATCAAAAGTCAAAAAAGAAATATACATTAAATGCTTCTAATTTAACATTTACTGCCAGTTCAGATCAAGGGCGTACCGCGTAGAACGGAAGAGAAGAACTGGTAATAAACTCTCTGCCACTCTTTTTAATCGCCAAGTTTTTTCAATCAATATCAAGGGATTAGTGACCATCCCAAGTATTCTTAAAATTAGTTTTGGGTATATAAAATTAATTATGATGTGCTATTCGTGCTTTCGTATGTAATAAATGTTATGTCTATGTCTGTCTATGTCTATGTCTATACATCTAATAGCATAAAATACGTAATTTCTTTATACTTCTGAGCAAAGCATTTAGCTAAGTCCTGCCTTAGATTCTAAAGTATGACAATTATACCAATGAAGTAAACTTGGTTTCTATGATTCTGATTTTAGGTTGTTTAGTGCGGAGGTCACTTTAAGACGTTGTTAGGTTAGCGAATTGCGTAATAACTTAAGGCAGAAGGAGATTACGTTTTTTTACAAACTATGTTTTTGATGGCATTTAGACTCCCCGACTCTTGTTTTGCGGGAACTTATTTCATACACATATTTTGTCAAAAAATCCAATATATATATATATATATATATATATATATTTCTAGTCCTGTTTCTATATATTCATAGGCGGGTAGGGGACTGCCGTCTCGCGTATCCCACCCCTACGCTTTTGCAGTGAGTGACTTATTTTATTGCAGAAATCTTCCACTTGTGATCAAAAGCTTGCTAACTGCTCGGCAGTTACCCGAAATATCGATTTGTTGCTCCAGGTGACTGGAGGCTCCAAATACTGGACATTTAGTATGTTTATAGTAAATGTTTTCCTAAAAATATTCACAAACTTACCAACATAGAAGTCAGGAACCAGTTTAGAAAGACAATCCTAAGACAGTTGATCTGCGCGTCTATCGACATGTTGATGTCACTAACACTCGGGAATTGCTCGATATTGTACAACACTATTTGTACATTGATGACGTCACCGCCGAGGACTTTCAATATCTGAAAGTTTAATTAATTGGCCTAAAATTTAGTATAAAATAAACTATGTATGTTTTTGTTACATTTTAATATATTAATGCGTAACGCGATAAATAAATAAATCAAGGGATAACCTTTTTTTTAAATTTTCTTTAAAACAGCTCCAAACAAACTAGGTTCCTTTCGCAACAAAACATAATTTGAAGTGAAGAGAAGAGTAGTAACAGAATTTCACATTTAAATTTAAAAGTAAAACAGAAGCTATATCTTTACAAGAGAGTTTCAACCAAACATCTACAATTTGAATTGACTTATTGTCAAACTATAATCGTTTTATAACAATATTTCGCATTTTATTTCACACCATTTTTAAAGATAATATTTACAAATTTTATCTTTATATTTAAAAAATATTGCCAAATCGGATAATACCATATATACGACGAACAATATACTAATATTTTGCTTGTTGATGTGTTGTTGTGAGTATGTTTAAGGTGATCTTATTCCATTTCTGTTTATAAAACTAGCAGACCCCAAGCGTTCTGTGGCTAAGGTTTTGTTATATTACATAGTAGCAAAATATTCAAGGAAACGACATAATACGACGAACAATGGGACCACCATGCTTTTTGGTTGTTATGCCATTAAATTGTAGCTTTGTGAAACATTGGGACTATCAACACAGTGCAATCTGTTAGAATTGTGGCTGTCAAATAAGATGTGTTTAAGGTAATCTTTAAATTCCATTTCATGTTTATAATTCAGATTTAGTTTCTAATTTATAATAAGATGAGAAATTCGATGCGTTTTTTAGACTTTTAGTAAACATTTGTATTTTTTTTTACAGAACAGGCTTTAAACGGGCAGTAGGCTCACCTGATGTTAAGTGATACCGCCGCCCATGGACACTCTCAATGCCAGAGGGCTCGGGGGTGCGTTGCCGGCCTTTTAAGAATTGGTACGCTCTTTTCTTGAGGGACCCTAAGTCGAATTGGTTCGGAAATACTTCAGTGGGCAGCTGGTTCCACATAGCGGTGGCGCAAGGCAAAAACTATCTTGAAAAACGCTCAGTTGTGGAACGACGGACGTCGAGGTGATCCGGGTAGAATTTCGTATTCTGCCTCGACGTCCGATGATCATGCGTATTACCGGGAAATTAATTTTATTCCGCCTTCTATAATGAGGCAGGTCTTAATTCATACAAACCTCTTTGTGAATAGTAGCTGGATTCAAATCCTCGACTTTGATAGAGGAAATCGCACAATCGACCTGCGTATACGACGCTTTCAGTACTAATCCCGCCGTGGCCCCATGCAATTTCAGCAATGATAAAGGTCGGATATCATTCGCGAATTTGATCTCTACCGCCCCGATCTTAATGTTCACTTTCAGTTGTATACTTTCCACTTGTTTACGACGCGGCCCTTTTGATACACTCGCTAAAATTAATAGAGATTACTGACACTGTGACACTCAAATATTTATTAAAAAACCTTTAAAAAATGCCTATTAGGATAAATAAGAGGCACGAATCTTAAAGTGCCAACGGTTATAATGCCTCCTTAAGACTATTTGGGATGATCGTCTGCTTGGCTTTTAAGAAAAAAATATCAGAAAATAGAGGCAAGCTCTAAAAAAACGCAAGGTTGGCAAAGTTTTTTTTAACATTTATACTAACTAGGACTCTAAAAAATGGATTAAATTGATATCTACTTTTTCTATTGAATCTCAAATATTTAAAAAATAAATTTACTTAGTAATTACCTTTAGATTTGACAATGGACAGCAACTCTTCATCTTCCATAATCGTCTCCAACGGACCAGCATTGGCGTATCGGTCTACCGTACTTTGGATTGCATTGAGACGAGTCTGAGAAAAAAACATATTAATTTAGTTAAAAGTTCTAAATAAATCTAATTCAGTCAAAGTCCTTAAACTAGGCTACTTTTTTGTCTCTTTCTGTCAAACTGTTTACGCTGTGATAAAGAGACAGATAGATAGAGTACTTTTCTCAAAACGGTGCTATTAAACTGTTTTGTTATGAACAAGGAGTCCGCCAAAGGGTTATAGGGCGGCGTAAATTACTTTTAGAAAACATCACCTTGTGTCGAAACCAGTAACAGTTTATATAGTTATATGTATACGTACATTGTACGTATACCAATAGGGCACGAAGGCTGTATATGCTACAATTTACTTATATATATATATATATATATATATATATATAATGTAAAAGAAATAAAACAAAGCTTTTATGTATACCAAATTACTAACCTGATAATTATTAACAATCACAAGAATCTCTTGTAAACCTTGCAAGTGAAGTAAGAGTTCCAACGCTGTAAAGTCCAATTCGATTAATTGTTCCACAGAACCATAGTGACTCCTGAATTCGGGACATTTCTTGTCAACCTGGAATGTTTCTTAATAATAATTTTTATACACAAACGCAGACAGAAGGACTATTTAAAAAAAACGTGTGTTATGTATACGCGTTAGAAGTTATACTTCTTTGGCGTAAGATAAAAATATTTTCAAAAATTTTACTCTACGTTTCTAAAAAAACGACACTAACAATAGAAATAACTAAAATGTTGACTGTAGCTAACTTTAGGGTGTCGGTTTTTCGTGACGGTGTGCGCGCGCATCGTAAAAATTTACGCTAATCATTTTTCCCTAACGCGCCTAACTACTAGTACCTAGTATAGTACTTAAAAAATTGAGTGTTTTTTTTCAGATATTAAACAAAATGATGCTGTGAAAATTCAGGATTGCTGATTCCTGAACCTTTGCATCACACATATAGTCAAACAATTAAATTAACTCAACTGCTAAAAACGCGTTCCGTTCTGAGAACATAGACTTGCTGAACAATTTTTAGAAAATTTATATTCTACATAACTACTCCTGTCCTGGATTCTGACGGGAGGAGCTATGCTGTATATATGATACAGCCATCGCGAAATATTTAAAAATAAATATGCGGTGCAGGACACATGACGTTCGACCAATCAACGCTATGTGCTTTCACTCGTCATTCGAATTTGTAAAAACACGTTACGTACGTATGTAAGTACGTACAAGCTGTACGTACATCTTTGGACGATCTCGCGAGATCTTAGGATTATAATACCACGGTACTTACTACAAAAACGTTTCCTATAATGGAGGATTATCCTATAAATATATCCGTACGTCGGCGGCAAATAAAAATCTCAATTAACTTGAGTTTTCCAAAACTTCGGATAATTGGGTTTTTGAAAAAAAAATTTTTTTGTGATTACGGCTATTAATATAATAACACTAACGGTAACTAACAGTATCGGTAATCACAAAAAAATTAAAAATTAGTAAACGCTGTACTCATTGATATACAAAAAACCCAAGATGCACACTCAACGTCTAAAAAACGTCCTCAAAAAATGAGCGCAACATTCTAAATTGTGCGCTCATTTCAAATAGTCTCGCGTCGCTCGCGTCTGGGAGCAGTTGTTAAAAATGCTAAAGTGTTCGGTGAGAAATTGTAAAAATATAACGTCAAGAAGGCTAAAAAAGGATGGGATATCGTATTTTCGGTAATTAAAAAACTTTATTGATTAGTTTTTGTTGTTTTTATGACTGATTATAACAAGCAATGTGTGACTTTTATTTATTTTTTCTAAAAACTTTATTCAACGCACAAACTTCTATACGGCCAACTTCAATGGCTGCTTGTTCAGTGTTAGAACAACGCATTACAGTCTTCTTTTTATTTTAGTCGCATTATAAGAATGACCCTGTTCTAATAAGTGGAGTCGATGTTATTTATTTGTGTTTTTTTTTATAAATAAATTTATGTACTTTTGAACTTTTTTATGTGTAGTTTTTGACAAATATATTTACGCTATATAAATAAAGTGTAGGTCAGGAGGTAGCCAATTTAACATTTTTTTTAATTTAAAGAAATTTTTTTTTTAACCGGATTAAAGTTATGTATTATTATAAATTTACAACTATTTAACATCCAACACCTTTTGTCTTCAGTCACCGTGGCCACGTACGCTGTAAAGCACGCGAAACGTCGGATAAATTTAAAATTATGTTAAATAGTTGTAAATAAAAAAGTCATGTTCGACTCCACTCAATACCTTGTCCTACCGACCACGGTCGGTCGTAAAATTTTATTGCTTTAAGTACACTGCGTTGTAATAACAACTTTAAACAATTCGCGTAAGGTTGATTTTGCAATAATATATGCTTGTAACTTATAGAAAGAGACAGAAATAGTGTTTCGGGACACTTTCGATCGTTACTTTTATTCGAGACTGTGCATCTTGGGTTTTTTGTATATCAATGGCTGTACTGTTAAATTGCTTTAACATTATGACGTCACAACATGGTGATCGATCATTCATGGCGCGTTTATAGTCACGTGATTTTTATTTAAATTTCATCAATTTTAATTATTTATAATTAAAAAACATTGATTTTTAAGTTTTTTGCATTAAACATCAATATTATTAACAATAAAAGTTTTAAATACATAAAAAAATCTATTTTTTTTTTTTCAAAAACCCAATTATGGTTATATTTCTTGAGTAATTTTATAGTTTCTTTATACAACTCTATTGATGAAAGTCTATGGAAAGCCGTGCATCCGTTTCTGATTTTGTAGCCAAATAATCGATTTGTTTTGACAAGTTAAAATACACTTACATTAGTATACGTAACAGCGAATAAGTACTGCTCTTCAATATTATCATGTTCTTGGAAATCTGTGGTGGTGGTTATCATTTGTATGGTCTTATGTCCACTTCTATGATGTTGCATATCCACTGAACCGAGTCTCACTGCTGCTTCGAGGGTAAATGTCTTCTGCGTGGCCTTTATTTCCAATAAATTTAAGGAGAATACTAGGAACTTGTCGTATACTTGCGGGTCCTTCGTTTTGCGGTTCACGCTTAGGATTAATTCTGAAAAAGCATCAAAAATTATAAATATAGATATTAAAGAATTCAACCGACTTGAAATATATGTTAACATACAAAAACGACTGAACCGATTTTGATAAAACTTGGACTGTTCCCTTAATTGGAATATACCTGATATAAATAAAAAATACATTTACGAAATTTATCATTTTTTTAAGTCAAGTCAAACGTATAGCCTATGTATGAAGTTGTTTAATAATTTTTGGAACAGTATCTCTGAACTATTTGCACATTATTGAAATTGGTTTTTCTTCGACCAGTCTTTTGTAACTTAACACACAAATGTGTATACACGATTGTGGTTCCATGTTATACTTAAAAACTAAATAAGTATAATTACTCAGAATACTTTAATTAATTCCAGTAAGATTTTATATTAGAGGTGAAACTACTTCGCACTAAGTTTGAAACAGACACTACTTTTCTATTTCTATAATATATAAAAAATAAGTATTAAAAACCTTTCATAATGAAGAACGCTTCGAGTTCAGTAAGTTGCACCGTATGTTCTTCATTTTTCCTTTGTTTCGATCTCGCAGTATCGCGCTTTTGCTTCTCAGCCGGGTCCAAATATCTCAAGAGCGACAAACTAGACGCTTTAGATTCACTTGCCTAAAAACCATTAGAATGTGTCAGAACAAAACTACCAAAAACTCCAATTTACATTTACATCAATAGAGACTCAAAGATTTCCGGAATTCAGTCAAGATGACATCATAACAATTGGAATCGCCACGATTATATTAATTAATTTATTGAAGTTATACTTCTTTAGGCGCGTTATGAAAAATTGATGAGAGTGAAATTTTACGATGCGCGCGCACCGTGACACAAAATTAACAGAATGAAGTTGCCCACGGAAGATGCTACGGCATTATTGGACATAATTTAAAAACAACATTCAAATAATAATATAATTTATGTTACACTTAATGTAAGAGAATAATAATAAATATTTATTTATTTAATTTTTCAAATGTAAACTGAACTTTATTGACTATAATGACTCCTTTTCCCGTCTTTGATTATTTAATTGTAATTAATTATTTGCATGCAATCAAAAACTATTTTTAATAATGCCAAAGAAGCATAACTTCTTACGCGCGTACATAAGTACACGCACCCTTTTTTGGATAAAGGTTAGATTTTCTTTAGTTTTAAAATATATAGGCATCGAATTATACACAAGTTTTAGATATTATATGAAGCTATTTTTATTGGTTTCTTATCATCGAGTCATAGATAAGTAAATGTACTGTTTCTTTTCATTATAGCGTAAATACGCTTGGTCAGATGGAGACAGAATACCCGAATGATAACTTTATGTGACTTTCATATCAAAGAGACAAATTTTATGTTTGGTAAGCAACAGTATTTAGATCTAAGAGAACAAAATGTATTGAATTTTGACATAATATAGGAGGCATACTTCGTATTAAAAGGTCTAAGTCCTAGACTTGTTTTTTATTCCCACCCTAATAAATAATAATTTATGAGAAAAAGAATCAAAGCAGAAGCTAGAAACTTCAAACTACACAATACAATTAATTGACGAATATTATACATAATTTATGTACTCACCTAGCGTCCACTTAATAGGAAGTGCCCCAAAAATAATCGATTTTTTACGCGATTTTTATATTTAAAATGATCGATTAATAATCGATTATTTTTATAATTGAAAATCAATCATAGTCGATTTTTCATCTGCCACTTCCCGACATTATGTCTGGTCTCTTATAACCCGGACCTCGAACTATTAGGGATATTCGATATACATCGATGTTTACAATGCGATACATTGAATCCGATTCTTTGAAGATGTATTGATATACTCGATGCATTGATGTTTTTTTGTAAAACATCGAAAGGATGATAAAACCAATTAATTTTTTTTTTTTAACACTATAATTTAAAAGTAAAATAAATTTATTCAACAGCTCAAGATTACATACAAATAAAAAGACAACAAAAATACTGCAATGTGCTTCTGAAATTTCACCTAAAATCTATCAAAACGAGATTAAGTTAATTTCGATTTTGATTATTCTTACACGTTAATTTGTGTTTATTTTTAATTTAAAAAAACCAGGAAAAATAAAATATTTAGGGTGTTTATTTTAAAATTAATTCAAAAATTAGGAAACAATCGATTAATAAAAAAATCTATTAATAAATAATCGAATTTTCATGCTAAAAAAATAATCGATTAATAAAAAATCGCTTTTATGTAGAATGTAGTGTACGTTAAACATCGATAGACTATCGATAGTATCGATACTAAATGGCTATCGATACTATCGATAGTTTTTAAAATAATCGATCGATTGTTTACTCAAGTATTATCGACCCCTTTAAGTAACTCATTGGTAGATGTCAGGCAATATCTGGAGAAGCCAGTAATTGACAGGTAAGAATGTCCTATAACATACTAGACATACACTAACAATAAATTAAAGGAAAAAGCGATGCTCTATCTGTGAATTCCAGCATAATCTGTGCCTTCGGAACGGATTTTTTCGAAGGCCGGACAAATCTTAACCGAACGGAGAAATAGATTAAAAGAAAAAAGGTTAAACGAATTGTTGTTTATAAAACAAAATAGTAAATATTTAATGTTTGACAAATCAAATTTCTTATTCTTTAATAATGATGAATGCTGATTTTTTATTGTTATTTCAAATTTAATTGAAAATAAAACTCTTCGTTTCGTATAACATTTGTTATTTTATTGATGTTACGCTACTCCTACAATCTTTTAAACTATCGATTGCTTTTAGTAAAACTCTCGATACTATCGGATTACCAAACTTGAAACTATCGATGTTTAACGTACACTAGTAGAATGTCACATCTCAAAGAAAGAGTAATAATTATGAGATATGCGGGTCAATTCGTATTACTACGATGGAACCCGTACAAAAACTTCTTTAATCTCTTAAATGATGATTAGAGACTCTGCCCTCAAGCTCGTTTGGTTTCACAAACAATATACACGACATGCTTAAGACAACGATAGCGTGTGCTATTGAACGTGTAGCGCCATCTATTGGGGAAATTGTGTACTAGTATTTATTATTACTTCGTTACATACAGAAATATAAGACAATTGACATGAAAAAGAGGGAAACTGGCGGCCTTATCGCTTTCGAGCGATCTCTTCCAGGCAACCACTGTGAGAAAAAAATTAGATAAGGTAAGCAAGAAGTGTTAATTAAAACAGTCTGAATATCCATAGACCATAGCTTAATTAGAATTGCCAAATACGAAAAAATAATATCGATGTAGTCAAAGAAATTACGGGATGAGTCTGATGTGTCAATCGAATCTTTAGTTTAATTTTCGTTTTTGTATATAGAAATCTAGATAATTATGAATGCTAGTAGTATCGCAATAACAAAACTAAAATAACTACATTTCTCCTCCTATACAATATAATATAATATTTAAAATAAGACTCTCCAATACTAAACTCTTTCTTATATATCTAATATTTAAATGTCATAAATGGATCTGTATAAAATTAATCTATAATGAAGGTGCCAGCTACTCTAGTAGTGTAATTAATCACTTTTATATAAATTTTACCGGAGCACCGCTTCCTTGTGTAACAATTTGGGATTCAATAACACGGCCCGTCATAGTGTACGCAAATTTGTAGCAAATTATCTTTAAGAAAAACATTTTTTTTAATTCCACAAAGAACAAGACAATACATTGAATGTTTTCGTTCTTTATAGTGCCTGTTTGTTGTCAAATGTTTCGTTGGGATTCAAACCTCAAGCCAATTCAACGTATACCTCCGGATTTAATGGGCTAAGTATCTATGCCACGGAGGTGAGAGCTTTGTATGTAATAAATATTTAATAATCTAAATCTAGTATATTTTTTTTATTTACTAACAAAATCAGGTTTAATAAAAATAATAAGGGACCTAAAAAGTGTATTAAAGGAGATATAGAAAAACTTTTTTGTGTTTTACACACTTAAAAAAATAAAAAGGCTACCTGAATAAATATACATGTACCTTTAGTTGTGTCGTTTCATCAGAACGGGGCAAAGGCATCCCAACCAATATTTCACATAGAGTTAATAACCTGCAAACGGAAAAATTAACATTCTTCTCAGTTTCAATTAATCTTAGATTATTAAGTATGTTTTAAATGCATGTGCTTGGCCAAAAGCCAAGTTTAAGGAATTACGGGAAGTCTTTAAATAACATATATATCTCGATTTTTTTTCTTCGACAGACTTATTTTAATAGAAAGAAAAATAGATGCAATGATTCGCTTCTTAACAAAAAAATTTGATGACGACGTCATTAAACATGTTTCACACTTTAAATTTAAGCAGAACTACTATGTAGAACTGATTTTTAAGACGAAACCCAACTTCGATGACCGTCAAAATCCTTCCTGATGATGCTTTATTTACGTAAAAACTACCTAAATGAGTAAAAATATATTTTCACCTATCTTCCGATACGCTAACAGCGATCTTCTGTAATTCTCCCTTTATTTTGATCTTAGGCATCCTCGGATCATCAGTTATGAGGCACTTGTGTATTTGTATGACCAAATTGGTTGGTTGTAGAAGATGTAAGTATGTTGCTTCGTTTGAGCACCTTCATTTGGAGATGCGATGACAACCTGTAGCATTAAACAAATTTATAATTATCCGGCTCGGAGGACCAAGTTGCTTCGCAACCAGTGGACTGTGAAACCAAATGTTGTAACAGTCGGTTGTCAAATTAAATCTGAAGATGTATATATTATTTAAAAACCAAAAGTATCGTAAAACTGCTTCAAAGTTATGAGGGCGAATAATGTCGCTTGTATTGCCAAAATAACTTCAAAAGTAAATGTGGAAGATGCGATGACAGACCTGTAGCATTAAACAAATTTATAATTATCAAACACCAACGGAAGAAAACGAAACTACGGAGAAAAGACCACGTTGTCTTCGCAACCAGTGGACCCAGCCATTTTTACCGGCGATGAAACATGGGTTCATCACTTCGAGCCTGAGTCAAACAGAGTCCATGCAATGGCATAAAAAGGGACCCCCCCCCCAAAAAAATTTAAATGTATATGTAACAAGTGTCGGTTGTCAAATTAAATCTGAATAGATGTATATATTATTTAAAAACCAAATATCGTAAAACTACTAGCATTGTCATATAACATGTTACTCAGGGATAATGTAGCATTGTATTGGCGATGGTTTAGAAAAATTAATTCATAGACTAATAAATGTATTCAGCTTTTGGGTTTTTTTTTTTTAAAAGGAAAAAAAAAGTTTACTGTTTCATTTTTACTAAAACCCTTTCATTCCACGAACTTTTGGACCTCCCCTCGTAGTTTTTGATTGTATCTCTCGTTATGAGTTTATTCGACATAAATCTGACATAATATCAGGATAAACAAAATAGTCAATAATATTTGAATATAGTCTAAGATCCGGTTGCAGGATTAGTGCGTTCATCGCTTATTTGCTGAAAACCAAATTATTATGTTTATTATAGAAACAATAATTAGGAGAACATCATTTGTCAGACGAGGATAGCGATTGTCGGCTGTGCGACGCTTTGAAGCCATTGCGCATGCGTCGAATGTTACCTTCAATTTGATATATAATTAATAAATGAATAAATGTTTCGAAATCATACCTGTTTACATCTGGCTGCGAAAAGGTGCGGCCAGGTGCGCAACGACAACCGTTATTTTTAAAAATCTTTATGTAAATTGACGATATTTGATTTAAAAAAGAACTGAACAAAAATTTATCCCAAAAATCAATTAAAATACTAGCGTCCAAATTGATAGGCAACTTGGTAGATATACATTCTCCTAATTATAAATATTGGTTTTTAGCAAATAACTGATGAACGCACTAAGATGTGTGTGCTAGATTTTTTGGGTTTGAGACATGCCGGTTTCCTGGGATGCTGACACATCCCTGCAAGCATTGTACCCGGCCTCCCCCAGCTCTATAAAACAGGATGAATTGGCCGATGTGAAAGGCCCTTGCTGTGCCAAGGTCCATTCCACATCATTCGTGGCCGTAGAGGACCGTAATATTAACGGTTGATCGCGTGACTGGATGCGGACAAGGCTACGCTGTTACCGTGTCCTGCCCCGGGCGATTGCTGGTGGCGCCGTGGGGTTTTAGTGGGTATGCACAACAGCGAGTCCGACATCACCATTCCCCAGGTCAACCATGCTGCGGGAGGGTATGCGTAACGCATTTCCCCACGGAGAAAAAAAAAATGCCGGTTTCCTAACGATGTTTCCCTTCACTGTCGGAGTAACTGCTAACTACGCGCTTCGAAGGACTCAGTGATGAGGGTTGTACGCTTAAGCCACTAGGACAACACTGCTCTTAGATAAGGACATCGATAATTGATTTGTCTGCTTTACTGCTAAATGCGGATACGGAAACATAATAATGGAGTTCGTACCTGCATTTCAGTGAGCCTCAAAACCATCTTGTCATAGCTATGCGCGGTAATCTGCGCCAATATGTCGTCATCTTGCAATCCGGAGCGATACAATTGATGAACATCCAGTTGAGGGGCGCGTGGATCGCTCTTTACACTTATGGCACCAAGTTTCACTACCACCACTGCTTCACCACTATGGAAACATCGAAATGCGTTTATAACATTAAAATTATTGTGAGATTATTGAAATTTACACCCAAAATTCAATAAAAATCCTAGATAAACACATATTGAAAAATAAACTATGTTTTCCGGGAAGTATTTTTTGTAAGAATCCAAAAATAGATGGCTTTAATATTACTCAATAATAATAGTTATAGTTATCGTACTATTATTAGTTTATATTTATAAAATTGGATATATTTTTTGAGTTTTACTATAACACAAAGTTGCTTAAAAGTATATACGCATACTTTGACGTCCGGAGATAATGATTTTATTTTAATATAAAAAAAATATATTTTTTCTGTTTGAAATCTAAGAAATATCCTATCATCGAATATAGTGAAATATATTCGAGACTAAACAATTTTATTATAAAAAAATATTAAAAAATATATTATTTTTTATGATATTAGCAAAACTTTTTTTTCCTAACGTAAATTAAGTAGTGGTAATTTTAAGTAATGCGAAATATGTTATATATGTCTTTATAAGTTCTTGTTTAACCCTTATATGTTGCGAACCCTCTGGCTTTGATTGTCCACAGAGCGGTTCTCCTGTTTGACCCTGTTCTACAAAAAAAAGTTATGAGCCGTACGATTCTTGTGTAGCAAAAAGTGTTTTTTGAATCCCACAATACTCACCCCTTATACATCCCAGTCTGCGGTACAACGATGTAAGAAGAGGCGACATCAATATCAAGATCAATAAACGTGTGCTGATGAACCGCGTACTGCATTCCCAAGGCGGACTTCTCTTTCAAGTCCGATAACTTGTTTTCGGCAGCCGCTTGCAAACTATTAAGAATTATCAAAAAGATATTGTTAATACTAAATTACTATACTGTACAGGATAAAAACGCGTTTAATTTTATTATATTACACGAATATAAGTTGCATGGTTCAAAATCATAATAGTAAAACGCTTATTCTGGTTAAGTGCTATTGCATTCACTTCATGTAAAATTACATAGAATAGAAAAAATAATGGAATAATTTTGATAACCAATTTATTCACCCAAATACGTTTGCTAAATTTCGAAGTGTATGTATGTCTGATTGCCCACAAATTTCTTGTAAAATAAAAGTCATATCCAATGATCCAAATAATGAATTCAATCAGGTATAATTCAACTTAGGGAACATTTAAGGTTTCCAAGCCACCCATTTCTACAGGGAACACATACAATTAGGTACCTAAGTAAGTTATATTAATCAGTATAGGAAGTGGATTACAGTCTTCTAAATTTAAAAATACCTCAATGTAAAAATGGCTCAGCATGAGAAATGGAAAAAAATTATGTGTTTGATTTCTTCTGCGCTTGGACGCCATTATAATGTTTCATATTACTTACGTAGTCAATGCGGTGGACTCTGAAGGCGGCTTAAACACATTAACAATTTCGATAACGGTTTGTGCGTCGTACACCATTTGTAACGGGCGCGCCCGTACTTGAACGCGCTGATCGCATTTCCCATCTAATAAAAATAAAATTTATAACAATACGCGTAGAAAAATTTACGGCATGCTCTAAATGACTTAAAACAAAATTCGTTAATTTCAATAATAATTTAATGTCAAGAAAATATTTTAACCGATACAGAAAATAAAGTAATTAAGTTTATTTTACATTAACATTTATTTATTTATTTACACTTCATTGCATTACAATATAAAAAATTTACACAATTAAATATAAAGGAGGGCAACTGGCGGCCTTATCGCTTTCGAGCGATCTCTTCCAGGCAACCACTGTGAGAAAAGAAAAAAAATGTATTAAATTAGATGAGGTAGGCAAGAAGTGCAAAAGAATATTAATACATATAGTTATTAAGAAAAAAACTAAACTAAACTAATAAAGAAACATGAAAAATAAGTAAAAAGTGCATATGAATCATAATAATTTAATTTAAGATCAGTCTCACGTCAGTTAGTAGTTAGTACGAATGTTAGGGATACGATGTGGACAGGTAATGTTTGTACAGAAGAAATTTAAAGGAAGATAGAGAAGGAGCTAAGCAAATAGGGACGAGAAGTGAATTCCATAGCCTAACTGCCTACCTTAAAGGACTCGCCAAGAAAGAAGTTATGAGATGGGATTTCAAGGATATAGTTTTCGGAAGAGCGTAAGCTATAGTTATGGGCTCCCAAAAATTTGCGACCTTTTAATAACAAATACACCTGTGTACCAATTGTCGTAGCTCTTTCTATTATTTTTTAAGATTAAAAGCAAATAATATATTGTATGCTCCATATATTATACAAAAATCTTACCTAATGGGTTAGTTTCAAAAAGTACATTAAGTAGATTAACATCTTTCTCTATTTCCTTCGAAGTGACGAGTTGCGGTAGGAATTCGCCTTGACGTACACCCGATACGGTGAAAGCTTTCATACGCACGTCAACTCTATAATGAAAAATTTAATTCTTAATTTCGAACCAAATTTAATGAGATAAACATATATCCCGTATTTATTAAACTAATAGAGTATATTTTGTCTCTTTCTACCAAATAGTGAAATATACGTGAAAGAAAATATCAAACGGAAACCAATGCCTTAGACCCAAAAAGTCGACGGCGTGTATCAGACACAGACAGCTGATCTTTTGTTCATTAGAAAAAATAAATGAACATTTCGCCACAATTTTTATCAAAAAATTATATGTATTCTGACGTCTTTATAAGACTAATTAGACAATAACAAGGAGTTTTACGTTTTGCCAGCTTTGGGAGCGTTCAAGTAATAAGTAACGAATTGTGTGGGGGGGGGGTCCTTTTATAAAACGTTACGATGCGAGGCGGGGATTGAATTACGCATTATTGTTAATATTATTTTCGACTTTCCAGTACTTTACACCACATAATGGTAACTTTTAGGTATAAAGAGGTGGTCACGAAACGTTTTACTATACTTGGGTACAGAAAAACGTTACGGTGCGTTACATGGGGGGATTCAATTATCTCCAAAAATTGCGTGACGTAATACTTGAACTTCCTTTCTCAAAAAAGAGTATTTATTTCTAAGAGTATTCTCACCGTAACGCATTAGCACTGGGCCTCTGCATCATATCCAGTTCAACATTTTCAACACAGGCACGAAGTACTTCAGACACATCATGGACGGCCACTTGCAACTTGTCAAGTTTAAAATGCCCCTCTACGGCGACATACTCTATGGGCAAATGAAGCGGCGCCGAATTTTCTTGGTAATCAATCGCTCTAAACAACTTTTCCTTCTCGTCAGACGTCATCGCTTTTTCGAATTGCTTCACTGTAATATTAAAAAGACTTTGTGATTCAAATACATACAACAATTTTGAGGGTACTGAAATATAAATATATACTTTGCTAGTATTTATCAACAGAAAAAAAACTTTATATCGAAAACACTGAAACAGTAACGTAAAAAACAAAGTCAAATAAATATAACGATGAATACACGTATCCAGCTGCACCTTGCTAATCTTTATCTAAATATTTCGACAAGAAGTAAAAATTATTTTATAAATTTATGTTTTCACGTCTGTTACAAATCCATTGCACCCCTTTTGCCCGCACAAGCAACCGCATAAGGACCGGTCAAATCCTCAAATTAGTAATAAGTCTAAAATATAGATTATTGGGGGGGCCCTCAAATAGGGCCGATAATAATAATAATAATTGTTTGTTTTAAAGTTGTTTAGTTTTTAGTTAAGTTTGATTAAAGTAATTTAAATATTTAAATATTTTTTTTGGTATTCACCGCTGGTCATGACTTGTGGTCTGTTAATTCGTGTAAACTAATTTTTGAATTAAAATTGAAAATTGCATAATAAGGGATTGCGGCATAATAAACAAAGTCGGTGTTGCATTAATATCATTTCATTGAGCCAGAATGTCTCACGTGGTCTGTGAAGAGTAGCAATCATAATTTCACAAGTCATTGATTTAAAAAGCATAATTGATTTTTGGTTTTGATTTTTTCTATATGTACGTACTGAAGTTGATGAAACTCAGTCATACCGATTAAACGTAAGTATTAGCGTAAAAATACAAAACATATTAATATTATATTTATTAAGTTTCCGATAACCTGTGTGCTTTTATTACTTTCGTCATACCTATTACATTTTAAACAATTGCTTGTTATAGAAATATGCTGCATTGAAAATGCTAGATGCATTGCAACCGTTTTTGTGTTATATAAAAACTAACCTTTTTTTCGTTTTCCCCCCCCCCCCCCCCCCCCCCCCCCCCTTTTTTTTTTCCCCCCCCCCCCCCCCCTTTTTTTTTTTTTTTTATTTTTTTTTCCTTTTTCCCCTTTTCCCCTTCCCCCTTTCCCCCCCGGCTTTTGGTTTTTTTTTTTTTTTTTTTTTTTTTTTTTTTTTTTTTTTTTTTTTTCCTCTAAAATATTTTCTTTCTAACCCCCCTCTTCCCCTCCCTTTTTTTTTTTTTTTTTTAATTCCCCCCCCCCTTTTTTTTTTTTTTTTTAAAAAAAACCCCCTTTTCTTTTTTTCCCCCAAAAAAATTTAACCCTTTTTTTTTTTTTTTTTTTTTTTTTTTTTTTTTTTTTTTTTTTTTTTTTTTTTTTTTTTTTTAAAAAAAAAAAAAAATTGCGGAAAATTAGAAATTTAAGTCTAACCACTGATGTAACCTATGGCGTTTGACATAACATTTACAGAATGCGTGCAGCAACGTCAAAGAGGATCCGTAAGACAAATGAATAATCGTTTAATTAAAATCAAAGTACGACAAGTATCGACATAATATAACAAAAAAACTAATAAGTTTTTTTTAGTATCGTTACACTAGATTCAAAATTCTTTTAATAAGCAAAACATTATACTAACAAAGTAAAATTTATTTTAATAATCAAAATATTGTTCTTACTTATAGCCACGCCTTCAGACATTTCGTCATCTTTGGAGCTCCCACCGCCCCACCAGCCACTAAACCAGCCACGAGACTTTTTAGCTTCTGCTTCTAGTTTTCCCAATCTTTCAACCTAAAAATTAAAACACTCAAAATATTGGCATACTTGTCTTTACCAAGTCCAGCAAAGAAAAGTAACCAAGACAAATTTCGTGAAATTATCCCGCATTTTAATAAATTCATTAAGGTACAGATCAAACTAAATTAACAATTATTTAGTTGATAAAAGGGCCTGGGACTAGTGCTAGACAGGCTACTTCTTATTAATTTGCGATATTTGTTTTAAAATAAGTGTTGTTTGATGATTTGCTACTTTAAAAGAGTACCGAGAGTTTTTTACGCCTGCTTTTTCTCTCGGCCTACACCCTCTGTCTTCTTTGCCGATGACTAGGGATGCCTAGAGATTCAAATTTAATGACGTGGAATAAATGATACCTGTATCTTATGTTCATTCAATAAACATATTTTATTTATTTAAACACAATTTATAGAACAATGTTATAATGCCTTTTTTTCCATAGTCTAGTGCCCATGTGCAGGGCATAAGCTACAACATTATACCATTTAGAGCAGTGTTTCCCAACGTGGGGCCCACGCTCCACAGGGGGCAATCGAAATCGGCTGGATGTAACGCAACGTGGAGACTTGAGACTGAAGCTAACCAAATTGGAACCTCTTATAAAATATCAGTGCAGCAAGCATAAAGCGCATCTAACTAAATTAAAATAATAAATTCGTATAGAAAAATCTTTATTAAAATTATTTGGTAATTTATTTTTAGCTTTTCGTTAAAAAGTTGCTAGTAATTTCTTCCTACCAATTAATCTCACTCCAGGCCTCCTCACTTCCTAGCAATTCTTTCATACTTGGCTTAATGACGTGTGACCCCCAAGTGGGGCAGACAGTTCACAGTTTATAACGAGCTACAATTTGGTAAAAACACAAATACCATACCTCTAACTCTATCTGCTGTCTGATGACAACCAGATTAAATAGATCCAAGGTCTTCTCGGCTTCGTCCAGCACGCATTGGTATTCCGTAGAGACTTTTCCACGACAGGTCAACTTGTTCTGGTAAGCACTTGCATAGTCTTTACAGAGCTGACGATGCGACAACATGTGTTTCCAATCCCAGTTTTTACGTCTACGTAACACTTCCTCTTCTAATATGCATTTGTATGCAAATCGCCACCAGTCTTTATAGTGACCCTTGTACTGTTTGAGGTCTGGTCGGTATTTTCTGTTCATGCAAGTTTAATTATATTTATATTGAAGTAGATAATATGTTCTTAGGAGTTCTGAACTCGATGAGCCTAGTTCTTTTAAAGTGGCTTTTAAGCGTATCCTTATCAATTTTTGTATAATTAACTTAAATTATTTGATTACATCACAATAGTTATACGATTTATTTTAATGGTAACGATAAAAAATTGCTTTACTAAAATAACTACCAAATATGTAATTCCAGAATCTTATTGGAATTAACTAATGTATATGTCGCAGTAAAGTAGTTAAATCAGAGTGTTAATTGAATCTCTAGACAGTTAATTAAAGATCGATATTCAATCAAGTCGCTAAAGTTCCGTCAGACAAGTGACATATACATTGAGAGTTTGAATGCGCAAAAGTGACCATAATTTCGTCTTAAAGTACATTTTCGGATTTTTTTGTATCGCAGCTTTCATAACGCCGCAAACGTTATTTTGCCAGCATTCCTGCTTGACTTATTTGTAGCCCTGCATATAAACTCCAGCATACACTGGAGTTTCTATACACACCTCTATGTACGCTTTAACGCATAATATAACACCGCAGATGAAGATTTTTTTTTTCGAACTTTACAAGGGTACTTTACTATACCAAACACGTGACCAATATCTAGTTCAAATTACTTTAGACATACAAGCTGTATAGCTTCAAAATGTATTTTTAGAACTATACCTGTAAGGTGCGCCTTTGCTCATACGATCCATAGAATCTGCTAACAGCATCATATCTTGATATTGTGCTTTACTCAGATTCACACCCAGCTGTTCCATGTGCAAACTCAAAATCACTTTAGGAATGTTAAATTTCGGAGTATCTCCTTCTGGTTTGGGATTCAATTTTAATTTTGCGGTCGCGTTAATTGGTGCCAAGGCTGGAATATCGGTTAGTACATAATACCGGCGAATGGGATAACTTTCGAATATTTATTCGAGTTACACATATTTAAAATAATTTTATGGTTTTAAAAGCTTTAACAATTTAAATTGTAATATTGCCCTGACGTTAAACGTAGCATAGTCACACTGAATTGTTATAATAAAACTCTTTTAAGGCCGGTTTATATATCTTTGTACCTAGATTAGCTTCAGATCCTAATTACTAAAGGATCAAAAAATGCCGTCAAAAAGATTTTGGCGGTATCATATTTACTTTATGTGTCAATTAAGTATTTTAGTATAAATGAATATCGCACTATATTTTGTGTAGAATCTTGGAGTAGACTAAAACAATTCTTGCCTTAAGATAATATTTTCATGGCATGGCCATTAAAGCATGTATCTTACTATATTTCATTCATTAGAAAGTAGAAAATTATTGCAGCATCTATGTTTAACAAAATAAAGTTGGCCTACAACTTACGAACTCTTCCCTGCAAAAACTGCCTCATTTCTTTATAATGAATACTTTTTACAAATTTCCTCTTAATTATAATGCAGACTTCAATATTAAAGTGTGTCACCTACCTACACTAGATTAAAGACATCAAATGTTGTCTAACTAACTAGAATTGTATTAAACTACTTACCATATAAATAATCCCCTGGTTTAGATGTTTTAGTTGCTATTTCCTTTTCTAATCTACTTTTTATTTCCTGTGGACTGGTCTTTGAATACAACTCAGTTGTTGGGTTCCAATAAACTGCTAAACCCTCTAAATTTAATACCTAAAAAATTTGTTTCATTGTTACTGTTGTATTAGACACATTAATTTAACTAAGTTTAAATGTAAAAGTTAAAGGTTAGACAGCCATACGCAGTGTTATGTATTACCATTCATAAGTCATTTGTATATTAATAATTATAATTATAGAATCGACTAACTGTAATCAGCCATAAAATTAATGTGACCTAATTTAAGGAAGCCTGGGGTTGTGAAAGATCTTTTCTTGTAAAATAGCTTAAGTAACCATCAGCGCTTAATTAATGACTCTGTGTATAGCTATTTAAAATTATTTTTAAAGCTAGTATAAATAGAATAGAATTAGAAATATTTCTATGTTTTATTAGTTTTATAATAAGATGGTATCTTACTTTGAATATCTTTGTAACAGCCTCTTGTATGACAGTTTGTTTCCAATTTTCGTCTGTTGTGTGAACAGACAAGTTGTGCAGTGTAATACCAAAGGAAAATGGTGCTTTGGGATTAGTTATGCTGTCTTCATAACGAATATGTATATCCGTTATCTTCAGTTGTACATTTTTAATTATTTGAGTGACAAGTTTTTCAACAAATGTCTCATCAAGTTTGTTCTCATCTGGAAAAAATATATATTAAAATACCAAGCCAATATACATAGGTACACATGGTATCCATGTTCATACAGGATACCTTTCTCTGCTTCCTTTTTTTTGGCCTCCTCAACTCTTGCAAGTTCAGCTTGTTTTGCCGCCAGGGCAATCTTTTCTTCCTTTTCTGGGTCATATTTGATTTCAGCATTGGGATTTACAATAAGAAATAATCTTTCAATAGTAGCTTCCACAGAAGCACCATATAAATTTTTCCAAGGTATTTTTAGCACCAGCTTGCCTAATTAAAACACAAATTTTCCAATTATATTAGATAAGTTATCAACATACATTGAGTACAAAGAATATTTTAAATATTCATAAATACCCTAAACAATCATTTCATTCACAAAAATTATTATAAATTTGTCAATGAATACCACAATACATCATTTGTGATACACTTTTTTTTATGTCAACTGAAATCACTTTAATCAGATTCCAATATTAACCTAGGACAATAAAAACTGACCTTCAAATTATATTTGTGTGAGTCACAAACGCTATCTTAATTTGAGAGAATGATGTCACTGTATTTGAGTTACTTCATAGTGGCCTTTAGGCTTGGTAGCCTATATGAATGCTAAATGTGATAACCTCATTTAATTAAAAGTAGCTACTTTATTATTTTCAAATAACTTTTCAATATTTATATTATATACTACAAGCCTTTTTTTAACTCAGGTAAAAAAATATAAAGTTATTATATTAAAAATACTTTTATTAAAAATATTTGTGCTTTTAAAAATAAGTCACAGAAGGCACATACCTAAATGACCGTAGACTGTTTGAACTGGAATATTTAGTTCCTCTAAAGCGTTTTGCTTTAGTATCAAATTTTCCAGCACCACATCGCCTGAAAATTAATTTATTATATATCCTAACATAAAAATCAAAATATAAGGAGGTGAGAGTGTGACATCATTAACCATAATTTGTACGCGAGAGGGATAACTTACCACCCCATATTCCTAATTTTAGTTGAGATCTATTTAGATTTTCCACATAGTCCCCGAGGAACCTGTTTAGAACATCTACGACAATAGATTCGAAAACCATTGCAATGTTTTGATTACTCTAAAATAATATTCTCAACTCTATGTCATGGTCAGTGAATTGCGCAACACGTTCGCGTAAAATTGCTTTATCATTGAAGGTAAGGATAATAATTTAGAAAATAATCTAAATATCCAAAAAGTAAATTTTTATTTTATGCGCAAAATATACGATTTTAAATCGAACCTAATTTCCCGGAGCGAATTCACTTCGCATTTAAACACGAGTGTAATCACAAATGACAGTGACAACAACAATAAAAGTAACAGATAATAAAAGAGTATAGACCGGCAATTGTTAATAAATATTGAACCAGTCTTCTCACTGTACATTCGATTGTGGACTAAAGTGCAAAGACGAACTTGAGTTACAGCCGGCTCTACGCATGCATCATTTCCCATTTAAAATTGTGGTTTTGAAAATCTACATGTTTTGCTTACTTCACTTTTCATTCTTAACCTGTTATAATAGTACCAGTTATAATAGTAGGGGAGCCCAAAGTTTAATTACCTCCACCAAATATGAGCCCCATATATGTGGCCGCCCGTCAAGGATAAAGGAGATAAGTAAAAAAAGTAAGTAAGTAGTATTTAGTTGAATGTATTGAATAATTTTATTTTTGTTTGTTTGATTTTGTAAATTTTTGAACCTTTTTGTAGTAAAATGTATTATGTATTCCATCTCTGGCTATATTTTCAGTGTAACTGTTTGTTATTATATATAATTTATGTTAGCTGTAGGATTACGAAATAAATAAATAAATAATAAAAACATAAAAAAAACATAAAAAAAATCATTAGAAATTCTCGAGCGCGTCAGATTAAGGTAGGGTGAGTTAATTACATGTATCCTAAGCTCTTTGCTTAGGCCAGACCTTCGTCATTTTATAAAAGCTGAAAGTTCTTCTGTGCGTGTAAGATATACTTCCCCTATACAGGTAAGAACGACCAGAGACTATAGAGTTTGGGTAGTGGTGACTTTGGCAGATAACAGGTAGTAAAGGTGTATAAAATAGTACCCTTAAATCCCTTAAAGTATAAAGCTCAATTTTTTTATATTTTATTAGGGATAACTTTATAAATATCGTCATACATTGCCGGACACTTATGACAGTTGCTTCCCCCTGCCAGACACACCTAAACATTAATTAATTATAATTATACTTTCGTTAGAGTATAAAAGCTAAATTTTATAAATGTTACTTGGGGACCTATGAAAATATGATACTACCTCAATAGCCGGACAGTTTCAATGGTTTTTACACCCTGCTAGACACATTGAAAGTCCGCTGTACGTCCGAGCGCGAGCGCTTAGTCTTTACTACCTGTTATCTGCCAAAGTAACCACTACCCAAACTCTATAGTCTCTGGTCGTTCTTACCTGTATAGGGGACACGCTCAGAAGAACTTTCAGCTTTTATAAAATGACGAAGGTCTGACAGTCTGGGCTCTTGATTTAATGCTAAAAAGTGTATATTACTTTAATTTGACGTAAAGAAAGGGGAGGGCTGCAAAGTTGTAAAAAAAACGTCATCTCGACAATCGAGTATAGCTGAATTTTTTTTTATTTTGAAGGAAATTATTCAAGGATGATGAAAAATATATAATCTGACGATTTCCACAAGCCGAAGTAACTAAAATTCGTCGATGAAGTTAAATACGTGCCTATATTCCCCTCTACGTTTGTATTCCTCTAACACTTTTTCTCTATCTATTACTCGCTAACTCCGTCCCACCTCTAGTTTCTGTTGCCACCATCACAGCTTTTCACACAGTTCGTTCGAGGCATGATATTATTTCTAATGTTTGTCTAACGTTTTGTCTCATTTTATTATTTAAATATAACTAATGTGAGTAAAAGTTTAAAAATATTAACTATGAGTAATATTAACATAAAGTGTGTATTTTGTGGTGAAACTACTTCGCAAAAAGTAATAAAATTTACATTAGAAACATTTACAAAAATTTATAAATATTTTAATAATATCGACGAAGTAAACCGGTTCTCCGAAAATCTCGAACAATATACGATAATGTTGGACTTTCGATAGAATCTTCATTGTACTCCATGTATATCATGAAGATCGAAGATGTAATCGATGAAGATGATTAATTTATCAATTAATGATTTTTTTAGCATATATATTATAATAAATACAAGTATTCTACTTGAACAACATACACTTTTTTATTTGCATGCTATTTCCTGAGCTTGTCAATCGATTAAGTTCAATGATTTAAAAAAAAATATATGTATATATACAGGATGTCCCAAAAGTCGACGTCAAGTCGAAATTTTCTCATAGGTAATTTCCCACACCAGTTATCAGAAAAATAAAAAAAATTAAGTCATGTATTTTTGAAGTTATGGAAATTTTCTTTTATTCCAGAAAATGTACACCATGTGACAGTTTTTTCATTCCTGTTGTTACAAATATTTACTTTTTGCCAAATTTTTTTCTCTTACGTCATCCCGAATAGTGCTTTATGTAACCTATGATCCTAAACCCTGTGCCGATCACTCCAACTTGTAGGAAAATGTCATTTTATACCGTACCAAGTTTTCAAAATTAATTTTTCGCACTAGTTCAACTGATCGTCCTGAAAAAAAAATGTACTACTCCAGTTTGGCAAGCAGCTTTAAAAGTTTGCGCATTTAATAAGGATTCTAACGTGGTATAATACTTACTTCATTATTTCTTAGATCGGCCATAAAAAATTTTTTGTTAAACAAAGTCTGTTTTTTAAAAATTTCTCTGGAATTACAAAACACGATTCTAGTGTACCCAAAGCGTTCCTAATAACCACAGCGTGGTTTAAATAAGATGGCGTAAAGTGTGAGCGATCCTTATTACCTCGGGTTGCTTTTTGCCAAACAATAATTCAAAAACACCGAGAAGACCCACAATTCTTAGAAATTTTTTTATGGTCGGATGAATCAACTTTTAAAAAAGACGGCTACATGAACCTACACAATCTGCACGAGTGGCACGTCGAAAACCCACGATTGATGAGATCAGACAGATCACAGTACCGTTTCAAAGTTAACATGTGGACTGGAATTTTGAACGGAAAAGTCATAGGGCCTTTTGAGTTACCAGAAGTTTTAAATGCTGAAATTTATTTAGATTTCTTACAAAATCATTTGCCCAATTTGCTGGAGGACGTGCCGCTTACTATTTTACGAGATATGTGGTTCCAGCAAGATGGTTGTCCAGCGCATTACAGCCGCTTAGTTCGAAACCACCTTAACGAGGAGTATCCAGACAGATGGATAGGGTGGGGTGGTACAATCTCGTGGCCCGCCCGCTCACCCGATTTAAATCCTCTTGATTTTTTTTACTGGGGCGCAGTAAAGGAAAAAGTCTATTCCAAGTCGATTCAAAATGTAGAAGAGCTTAGACAGAGAATAGCGGAAGCAGAAGAATTTGTGAATAATGGACGATTTGCCCGCTTCATTTCACGATCTTTTTTAAGGAGATGTCGAGCCTGTATTGCAGCTGAAGGACGGCAATTTGAACATCTTTTATAAAAAAAGTAACTTCACTTCACTTTATTTATAATGGCGACATCTGTGTAAATCACAATTCCGCCAATGTCACGTTCTAAGTCTTCACACAGCTCAGTGAGGATAGATTTGATAATTTTGATAGATTGAATTTTACCTAAGCAGAGTTACCCAAAACAAAAATGACATCACAATAAATACAACACACACAGACATCTAATAATATATACAAAAGGTTAACATTTTACTACAAGGTATGGAGGGGAGAATCTTATTTATAACTTTAATTTATTAACAGAAATAAATTTCCCTAAAATTTTGACGATCGAGCTGGATGGGAGGGAAAGTAGGGAGTTAAGGTTACATGGACGAGGGAAATCTGAAGAAAGATGGTCAAATAACGAGTCATTAATTAAAGAACAGTTAAAAAATATATGGTCTGTCGAGCCCTCGTCGATACCACACTCACAGAGAGAACTGTCTTTAATTTTAATTTTGGCTAGATGAACGGGAGTACAAGCGTACCCTATACGAAGACGGCAGATTATTGACGTGACCTTTTTGTTTAAAAACTTATATTTAAAAAACCACGGCGAAGAAGGGATTGAATACTGAATATTAGCATAGTGCCTGCCAGTTTTTACTTTAGAAGATTGCCAATCAATAGTCCAGGATTTTAAAAGGTGGGAGTACGCAAGAGCTGATAGGTCGTGGGCCGAGATGTTGGGATGCTGACAAGATCCGCAGAAAATAGCACCTTTTGCACAAGAGTCAGCAGTTTCATTACCCGCTATACCACTATGACTAGGTATCCACAAAAGTACAATATGAATATCTTTTTTACTACACCTAAACAAAGCTTCTCTTATTTTTAGAATCGTATTATGTTTTTTTTAGACCTGAATGGATTGGAAAGAATTGCCTGTAAACAGCTGCGAGAATCGGAAAAAATTGTAACTTTATTTAGGTTGTGGGACTCAGCATACAAAACCGTTTCTAGGATTGCAAAAGCTTCACCTGAAAAAACGGAGGTCAATGGAGGAAGTTTAAAGCTCAATACTGTTTTGAATGAAGGAACCCATACAGCCGCACCGATGTACTCATTATTGGGAATCTTGGAAGCATCAGTATACATCGGTAACCAACCCTGCCAGTCTTTTGAAATTTTTTCCAGAAAACAAGTGGAAGCTTGGGTGGATTTTTTTTCAATTCCAAAGTTTAAAATTATTTTAGGATCAAAAATGAGGGATTCATAACTATTTAAAAACAAGGGATTACTAGGGAAACTTTCAATAGGATTAGGAAGACGAGAATGTTTATTAAAACTGTGTAACAGGCATGGAACATTACCTGTACTAGATGGCATCGTGAGATTAGATAAGCGACGTAATTTGGACAAGATGGAATGTGAACAGTATTGAAGGAAATTTTATCAAGGGCTTGCTTGTTGCCAGGATCTAAAAGGAAGGAGCCATAATCAAAATGACTTCGTACCA